CGAACAGACCTGGGTTCCTTTCTGATAGGAAGTGCACACTTTGGCGTATTCACTTGCTGATCTGTTCATCCAGTGCCACGAGCACCAGCTGCATTCTGCCAAGTTGCGAAAGAGAGAACCGAAAGCAGCATGGGAGAGCACGTTGTCAGTCGAATCAGTCATCTGCTGCTCGGCACACAAGAAGGAATTGATCTGTGCGGTTGACATACCAATCCGAAGTCCTTGAGCTGGCTTGCCAACATGTCTGTTTCTTTCCTGAAGAGAGCTACTGGGATGGGCTGATGTAATACCAAGGTGTTTGTACTGATGTCCTCATGTGAGGGGTGCTTTGGAAGGGCTGTCAGGCACAGCAGGGCAAAGTAGCTGGCAAGGCAGCTCTCTGCCCCCAGAGCTTGCGGTGTGGATGTTGCCAGTGGGATTGCTTAAGTCGCAGGATGACGCCTGCGTGCACCTCGCTGGGGAACGTAAGTGGGGGAGTGCGGTTACATTCCTGCCCTGCTCGGCAGTTCTCTGCGGGCAGCTGGTGGACCACTGTGTGAACCCAGGGCGGGACTTGGGGGACGCTTCGTTGGACCCAGCGGGGCTCTTCCCATGAGTGTTTTAATGCTTTACTCGTACATTGCCCTGGGTGTCCTTTTGGAGAAATGCACAGCTGTTTGGGCCATGCTGGGAGTTGTTGGTCTCTCTCCCCCACACCCAATCTGCTCATGGGACAGATTGTGCCTCCCGTAAAATGGGGGCAGGTTCAGTGGTATATGTGTACTTGCTCCAGTATACACCATGAGCTAGCAAATATTGTTAATTAGTTTAATTCTTGGAAGAACAAGCTGGAGAGGTCCCTTTCCCAATGGGCAGACAGTCTAAAAATAGAACCAGGGAAGCAAAGTAGGAGTGTAGGAGGAAAACAGCGACAGGCCTCAGCAAGGGAAGAAAACAGGATGATTTCTATGATACTTCACTTAAGTTACAGTTGAGTATGGGGCTTGGGGATTATTCCAAAGTTTTCCCAGAAAGGGTACATTTTAAAGAGGAACTTAAAAGCACGTGAAGAAGATGGTTGTGAAGAGACAATTGAGGTCATAGGAGGCAGCAAGAGGGAAAGGACTGAATTAAAGAAGAGCTTTGGGTAGCTGAGGAAGCTGGAGCTGAACAAGCGAGGGTCACAGTTTTTTTAAATTTTTATTTTTTAAGACATTTCCATGTACAATCATGAGTTGCAGTACAGCCATTTTAACTTGTGCACGGCCTATCCAAAGTTGCTGGCCTGCAGGCATATGTCTGCACCAATAATTAATGAGCAGAACCCCATTGTTCTGAAAGGTCTGAATGGAGTTCATCCTTCCGTCCCATGGTAGTTTATCACTTGTTTTGTTCATCAGCGTAGCCGCCCTCATATTCTTTTTCCGTTGTGCAAGAATGGAATACAGTTTGCTTTCCAGGCCACAGAACCAGTCTTGAAAATAAGTCCCTCTGCCAAAGTCAGGGAGCTTGTTCCAAGTGGGACTAACCCACTCTATTCTCAGAGATGCAGACATCCCTCATAATAGCAGACCCTGCTGAGAGGCGTTCTTTCAACAGTGCCATTTCCTAAATCTGGTTAGGAGTTTTCCACAGCTCTGGAGGCTGCCGCCTCAGAAGTTCAGTGAAGATGCTGTCCTCCTGAGCCAGCCACAAGGGGCCCTTAGGGGAGGTCAGTTAACCCCTCTAAGGCTGGGTGGTGGACACCAAGCAGCCAGCTAGCTCCAGAGAGCACCCCCCCCCCCAGCATCCAGGCTTGGGTGGCTGCTGGGCACAGGAGCAGAGGAAGCACCGTGGCATACTAAGTAGACCGTTCATCTGGTGGCCCCCATGGCTGTGCCGTGAGTGGGGCTGCAGAGGCCCAGGCACGGAAGCATTCCATTCTGGGCACAGGGTCCCGGTTCTGCCTTGTATGTCCCTGATACAGGGAAACGGGGTGATTCAAAGCCCTCGGCAATCCCTTGCACACCAGGATCCCAGCGATGGCTCGATCCTGGTTCCCAACCCTGAGTTTGCTCAGCGAGGAGCAGAAGTCATAGGTTGCTGTGGAAGGGCCCTGTCTCCATGGTGAGCAGTATACAGGCCCTGAGCCTCACGTGTGATCTAGAGGCATTCATGGGAGAAGAGGGGTTTGCAAAAGACCCTCATTTTGTTTTGAACAGCAGTTTTTTTGTTGTGCCAGCAGGAATTTTTTAAATCGACAATTTTTGAAAAAAATCTAAGAGAGGTGGAGTGTCTCACCAGGTGCCAGGAAAGGTGTCTAAGGGATGCACCAGTGTGTATGGATGCCATGTTGCCTGTATCTGGCTTGATGGACTAGCAAACCAAACCAAGTTCCCTGCCCCAGGGAGCTTGCAGTCTGCATCTCAGGAGTGAGGCGACTAACAGAGTGGTGGGAGTTAAGAATGGGCAAACTAAAGGATAGGGAGGGTAGAAAGCAGTTGGCTCGGAGCTAGATTCTGCAAACAACGCACCAAGCTTTGACAGTCCCTTTTCAGCTTGCCATTGTGCAGGAGATAACCCACTTCAGGCAGCCCACATGGCGCCTGGGAGCTGATAACTCTGGAAAGAGAGGCCTGGGCCTGATAAATTGTTAATGGGAATGGGCAGCTTGTTGGGTTTCTGTACAGGAGACTTCTGTTATCTAAAGGCCTGTGGGTTCGCTGGCACTTGCTTGCCACGTGATCGGTGGCCGATGCCATTGCCCTCCTTCCGGTGGGCTCCAAAGGCAGGCCGTCAGGGTGAGGCACAGCTGGAATGATCAAAGCACCGTGCTGGACCCGTGCGCCACTCTGTGCCCCTAGTGGGGAGTGGGGGGCCTTGCCTGGGATTCTAAAATTCTGGGGGGCACGGAGAGAGGACTTGCGCCCTCTGTGAACATGCCAGGACTCAGTCACTCAGTGGAACTTGGCATGTTTACAGAGGGCGCAAGTCTTCTCTCCGTGCCCCCCAGAATTTTAGAATCCCAGGCAGGTAACGCTGGTCACTCAGTAGTAGGTTCATAATGCAGGAGGAAGGGTTGCTGTGCGGTGCAGAGGTCTGATGGATGTGGGTGAGGAACGAGTGGAAACTGCCGTGGAGCGTCCAGGTACCAGCCACCCCTTACCTGGTGCTCTCCAGTGTTGGACTAGGGCTTAGAGTAATCGAATAGTAGAGTTGGCAGGGGCCATCGGTCCAACCCGCTGCTCAGTTGGACTTCCATCATTCCCAACCAGCTCCCTTGCAGCACCCTCTGCCCTCCTTCTGAAAACTCACCAAGACCCTTCAGCCTTTCAATCACCCGGTTTTAATTGAGGGGGCCAAAAAGTGAGCCCTGGGTGCCAGGGGTTTGGGGAACACAGAGAGCCCCCTTCTGCCAACCCATGCCACAAAGCCATGCCATTTTCAATACAGAGCACCACCCATGGAGTCTTGGGAGAGGAGCATTCCATTTATGGCTGAACGTGTGGCAGGCTTTAAAGTAGCAGCAATAAAGCCGTTGAACCTTGGCAAGGAATTTTCCTCCCTGCTGTTACACCTGGGCACACAGCATCCAAAAGGAGGCAGGGTTGTGTTGGATCGAAGGCTTGCCTCCTGTCCGTCACGGGAACCCATAAACACCTTGCTTCCGTCAGAGCCGCACACGCATGTTCCCCACCAACTGTTTCAGTGCAGTGAGACAAAAAGAGCAATTTGCTGCAAGGAGCCGTGTGTCCTTAGTGGGACTGGGCAGAAAGATTCTGCAGTTCAGCTACGAAGCGAGTGGCTTCAGCCACGGCAGGCTGCTTTCTGAAGCAGACCTTGAGAACAAAATTTGCAGTAGAAAATGTATCAGGCAGGGAAGGACAAATTTAGACCAGTCTTTCCCAGCTAGTGCCCTGCAGCTGCGTGGTTCTCCAAGGTGCCTGCCTGGAGGGCACATGGTTAGGGAAGGCCGGCTGAGATGGCACACTCACTTCTGCCTCTCCGTTGTGAAATCCACTTCTGTCCTTGGTCTGGGCCCACTAAGTGTTTTTTCTGACAAACTGGCGTAGTGCCATGGAGAAATTTGTGCAACTCGCACGCACGCGCGTGTGTGTGTGACTGAGAAGACAAAGACTGAGGCTCTCTTCTCCTCCCTCACCCCATTCTTTTGACTGTGCTAGCGATGGCAGGGCTGTAGTAGTGTCTGGGTGTCTCAGTGCTGGACTGGGGCTCGGGGGGGGGGGTGAGACGCTGGCCCCACGTGGGCCATGGAGCTCTCCTTGGGTCAGTCCTTGAAACTCAACCTAACCTACCGCACAGGGTTGTTGTGAGAAGGCAGGCTCTGTCGGCCCCCTTCTTGTGGGAGCCCACCTTTTCCACAGCAGGGCCTTCCAGCCCCCTTGCCCATAGGGTCCTCCTCATCACCCTCTCCTCTTGCTTGCTTGGGGGCAGAGAGCGGGGTGGGGGGGCAAACAGGCCACAGCATCTCCTGCTCCCCATTCTCGCCCATGCAGTGGTCTGGGCCAGTGCAACTGGCAGGTGCACAGGCAGGCGGCTGGGGGTGGGGGAGTGTGGGGGGTGACTTTTGTCAGCAGACCCTGCAGGGCTGGTGCCCACTCATCCCTTCCCTCACTGCTGGCCCTCACCCGACTGCTTTTGCTCTCAGGGCCACGCTGGGGGCTCCCCGTCCAAGCCACGTCATGGCCGCCCGCTGGCCTCCCTTTCCTGCCCCATGAACCTCCGGTGGGAGGGCGTTAACAAGTGAAACCCTGAAAGCCAAGGGCGGGACTTGGACCGTCTGCCGAATGCCTGCGTTCTTTCTCTGCTACTTGGAAAAAACAACTTGGCAAAGGGCGGGGGGTGGCATTTTTCCTCTATCTGCTGCTCTTTTCCCTCCCTCCTGTTTTTATATTTCTCCCACAGGGAGAATTAAATCGGTGTATGCTCCCTTTTGCTTTGTTCTTCCTCTGTTGGTGCTGTAGGGCTAACTGGATACTCAAACCATCTGCCTGAGGTCTTTCCCTTGATTTCTTTTCCAGAGGTAACGCAGCAAACCAGAAAGCAACATGTCGGACTCAAAGTACTTCACCACCACCAAGAAAGGTGATGCTGTGCTCGGGGTCCCCTTCATTCTCACCAGACGTGTGTGTTGGTGGAGGTCTGGGGCTAGCCCTCTTCCTGTTGGCCTGTTCGGCCATGCAGTGAGGCATTTGCCCTGGCACAGGTGCCAGCTTCAGCCAAGAGGGGCTTTGTTCATTCATTTTTACACCGCCCAATAAGCCCAGGCTTTCTGGGTAGTTAACAAAAGGTTAAATTTTAAAACAGAACCATAATAACAATTGAATCAGCACAGAAGTATAGCAGCAGGCACAGAAAAAAATGCAGCACTGAAAAATAAAGTTGAAGTTAAGAATGGAAGGAACTTCAGCTTCAGCTGAAGTCCACTTGTGCCTCACGTGACAACTCAGGTCCAGGAGCGCCCCCCCAAGCCGGGAACCTTGGCCTTCAGGGGGAGTGTGGCACTGTCCGGAACAGGTTGGGTGCCACCCAACTGGACAGACAAGCCGCCTGCTAACAGCACCTCCCTCTTGTCTGGATTGAGTCTCCGTTTGTTGGCCCTCATCCAGTCCATTTCTGTGGACAGCTGCAGGGGAGCAAAGTGTTTTAAAAAAGCCCCTGTGAAGAAACCCCTCACCTGGGAACAGTTTGGCCATGGGCTGTCTTACGATGAGCTTGGCCCACGCTTTCCCAACCTAGCACCCCATCAGACTACAATGCCTATCTTCCACAGCCTGCCATTTGCACCCTTTTTGCTTGTGCTCTGGCTGGGAGAGTAGTGAGGCAGTTTTGCTCCAAGGTGGCCATTTATTAGAATGTTTTGAGGAGCCCAGGGCAATCTTTTCTCCTTGGAGTTTACTAGGATTTCCAAATCCCTTTCCTAAAAAAAAGAAGATAAAGGGGGGAACTTGAGCTGATCTGAGGGACCTGCCAGGCCTCTCCAGAACCAAGAGCCAAACCCAGAAGTCCCCAAGTGTTTGAGGGCCTCAGGTGTGCAACTGGGAACCTTCTGCAGCTGCCATTTAAACTTCCCCTTTTCTTCTCCAGGGGAGATTTTTGAACTGAAGGCCGAGCTGAACAGTGATAAGAAAGAGAAGAAGAAAGAAGCTGTGAAGAAGGTGATTGCCTCCATGACTGTGGGCAAGGATGTCAGGTACGCGGCTGCCTGGGGAAGTGGCGTTAGGGAAGGGATATCCACGGTGCATGATTGCTCCACTGTGTGTGGGCCGCTCTCACCTGCTCGGTCCAGCTTCGTATGTCTCACCCAGCACGATCTCCTGTGGCTCAGGCAAAGAAGGTTTCCTCTCTTGACTGTTACCTGATCCTTTTAACCAGCGGTGCCAGGGATCAAGCCCAGGACCTTCTGTACACAAAGCAGGTGACCTGCCATTGAGCTGTGGCCGTTCTGCACGAACTCATGGTAGGTCTCACTAAGGAATTAAGCCACCCTAATTGCTACCAGTTATTCCTGAGGAGGCTCTGGCAGTATTTATTTATTTCATTCCTATAGCACCTACTAGCCAAAGCATTCTGGGCAGTTCACAACAATAGATCAAGCACACAAGATACAGTAACAAGGTAAATACAATAAAATCAGATATAAAATTCCAATGTGCAAATTTAGAGCAGCTAAAAATTCCAATATACAAAACTATAAAACAGTTCAACACTTCTATTAAAGACCTAGCCTAGTTAAAATAACAGACTTGCCCATCATATGCCTGGGAACAGAGGGCTGTTTAAGAATGCTCTTCTAAGATTTTTTTTTACTTGAGTGATCCCTCTCCCACTGATAGAATTCCCAGAATGCCAGTTGTGCAAATGAAGTCTAAAAACAAGCATTACAGGTGTAAAGTTGCCAACTCTAACTGTTTTGCTGCAATGCAGGTTGCCTCTTGTTGAGTAACTTTCATAGGCCTGATTCACCCTTTAATGCGTTTGCTTTTTAAGTGTATTATCCCACCCCGTAGCCTGAAAGGCTTTTGCAATCAAATTGCAAGCAGTCCGTCTAATACGGCAGTCCCTGTCTGTGATCCTACCACCTAAAAAGCCGGCCACACAAGGAAAGGGGGGTGATGAAGGAAGTGGGGGGGGGCATCTTTGAGCAGAGCTGGGGAACACTGCTGCTTTTCCTTTCCTGCCCTTCAACCAAGCCAGCTGGAATGGGAGTTGGGATGCTCATTCTGCAGTTGATTGACTTATCTTTGAGGGCAGAATGCCTGTATTTTTATCCTGTCTTTCCCTCTCTGAAAAGCTGAAAGCCCTGAACATTTTGGCTTCTTCCCCATCTGTTTTGTTTTCACAGCAGTCTTGTAGGGTAATTAGGCCCAGAGTGTGGAATTTTATCAATGGCGTCTGATCACAGCTTGCCTCCCCGTGCTCTCCATTACATGGCACTGCCTCCAGATACTGCACTGGTGCTATAGAAGGGGGTGCAGAACCTCAGGCTTGGGGGCAGGATCCAACCTCTGGGATTCCCAGTGTGGCTCTTCAGGGTTTCCCAGTGCTTGTTTGCTGGTTTCTCAGCTTTGTGCAGTTTCCCCCCAGTTTTCAAAGGCTCAAAATGCCACTCCTGGGACTTAGTTGCCAGCAAGAGGCGTGTTAAGCTAAAGTATACCAGTGTGTTTTGTGGTTTGTCAATGGCTTGGCTTGGCCTGGCACCACAGGACCGCAGCCCCAAGAGCTGCTCCAGCAGGAGTTTTGGCCCTGGGCTGGAACAGCGTCATCACCCCCGTTGCAAGGAAGGTGGGATTTGAATGGCGATTGAACTGGGGATCTGGCAGCAGCCCCTTGCAGCCCCCCTTCCTCGTTCCAGTCATGCCCCGCTGGAGGTGGCATTTGTGAAGCAGCAGTTGTGATCTCGCAGGGTCTTCACGGGGGAATCTTGAGGATATTGTGTGTGTGGGGCGGGGAGGCATCCTGAATAGCAGGTATAACCTGCCATCCTGCTCCAGGCCACTCCCCCAACCCAGGGGGTAGCTGTGTGGGACGGGGAGGCCTCCTAGGTGCTGAAAAGCATATAATGACTGCACCAGGCAGAGTTCTCTAGGGAGCGCATTCCATAGCCAGGGCAACACCACAGAGAAGGCCCTGCTCCGGGTATTCTGTCTCCTGATCTCCTTCCAGGAGGGCTCCCGGAGCAGGGTCTCTGCTGCAGATCTTAGGGGGTGGGAGGGCATATAGAGAAAAAGATGTTCCTTTAAGTATCCTGGTCCCAAGCCCTTTAGGGCTTTATAGGTCATAACCAGCACCTTAAATTGGGCCCAGACTTTGATGGGAAACCAGTGGAGCTGATGGAGGACCAGAGTTATATGAGAGTAACAACCGGTCCCTGACAGCAACCTAGCAGCTCTATTTTGCACCATTTGAAGTATCCAGACCATCTTCAAGGGCAGCCCCAGGTAGAATGCATTACGGCAGTCCATCTGCATGCAGCCCTTCAGCTGGCTGGTTCCATTGATTGTGGCAAATCGATAGTGGTGTAGTGGAACCTGGGCTCACCAAGAGGCAAGCCTGGCACTTCTGTGTTAGCATTTGCCAGCACCTCCTGCACATAATTCCTTGTTCTCTCTGAGCTTACCTGAATCTCGCACTAGGAACTGAATTCTCCCAGCAATCGTACACAAGTCACTGTTGAAACGCAAATTATTTGGGTGCAGTGGGCTCTGAGATGGGCAAGTCAGACACATGAACATTACACAACCAATATTGAAAGCCTGCTTCTGGCGGAGACCGGAACTTCTGCAGCTGGTTTGCTGCTGTCGCGCAACACAGCCGCCTGGTGTGGGTGGGGGAGTGTTAAGATGGCCAGCTTGACTGAGGGATGGATGAGTCCAGAAGGCTCCTGAATGGGGAATGTGCCTTAGCGTATGCTCGGAATGCTCTGCATGGCCTGCTTGTCCCTGGGCAGGCAAGCCATGGTCGGAAGCATCACTTAATTGCCGGAGGCCTTTTCCACCTTTGTCCTGCTGCCAGCCTTTGCGGGTGTTGGGGGAGACCTGGCCTGCGCCCTTCTGTGGCAGGCGGCCCTGAGCAGCTGGGCTTTCTTCCAGTTCATTATAGGCAAAGCCAGATTTGGCCAGGCCCCAAGATTCTCTGCTTGGATTAAGCAGAGCCCCAAGTGATCTTGACCTTCAGGAAGCTTTGGTCTTGAAGCCGGATGAGTCCGGTCTCGTGAGCACAGAGAAGAACAGGCAGGCTGTGAACTAGAAACCTTTGGTCTAGATGCACGCAGAGGGTCGTGGAGCTGCCTTTCCAGCCTAAAGCCAAGCCTTTCCTCCTGTTAACCCTCCTTGACATTATCCGGTCGTGCCTCTGGCACAATGCACGATGCAGCTACACCTGGACACTAGTCTCACAGCACCTGCTTGCATACCTCCACCCAAGGAGGGCCCGTCCTGAAGGAGGGGCTCCGTTCCACCACTGGACCGCCCAAAACTCTTTGGGAAGCCTCTCCTGATGGCTGGCCAGAGTCTGCTTCCCACTGGTCCTAGCCCTGCTTCATCTCCTGAGGGCACCGCTGTCGCCCCGGGCTTGCTTTTTCAAGTAATGGCACCATGCTGCTGCAGCGTCTTCAGCTTGTATTGATTAGGGGAATCCTCTGCAAATCTTGACAGAAGGAAGCCCTGTAACTCCCAGCATTCCCCCACTAGCTCCATTTTATGCATATTTTAACAGAAGAAAAGCCCTATGGCTCCCAGCATTCTCTCTGAAGCAGAGCTGGCTGGGGAATGCTGGGAGTTGTAAGACTTTTTTCTGTTGAAACATGCATAAAATGGCGTTGTTGAAATGGCCATCTGCTGTGTCCAGCATGTTTGCACGATTCCCCAGGCGTGGAACTCTGCCCAAAAGGGGGAAAAGAGTGTGCACAGAAATGGGGCCGAACCCAGGCCCAGGCTATGGTCTTCCCAGCCTCACCTGCAGCTTTCTTGCCACATTGACTTCTGGGCCTTGCGTTTCTCCAGCATGTGGACTAAAGTAGCACCGCCTGGAGACGTGAGGAGGCACAACCGTGAGTTTGCTCAGTGTGGCTCAGGGACCCTAACACTGGTCCCTTTTTGCCTTTCAGCGCTCTCTTCCCAGACGTCGTGAACTGCATGCAGACGGACAACCTGGAGCTGAAGAAGCTGGTCTACCTGTACCTGATGAACTATGCCAAGAGCCAGCCGGACATGGCCATCATGGCTGTCAACACGTTTGTCAAGGTGGGCGCCTTTGGCCGGGCTGGCAGCAAGGAGAGGCGTGATCAGCAGCACTCGAGGAACCGCACCCTGACGGGGCCCTGCTGTCGAGGGCTCTGAGGAGTCGCAGCCGCTCTGCCCCACTGCAGTCGGCATGGCCATCTGCCCCTCCTCTGGCCTGGACAACGGTAGTGGCCCGAGGGAGCAGCAGGCAGTGCTTCGGCCAGCTGGGAGGGGGCTGCTTTGTGGAAGGAGGACTCCTGTACCTGACTAAGGGCCGACCCATCTAAGGCTTTACGCATCTTGATTTGCAAACAAATGTCTTAACCAGTTGAAGTCCGAGCCCAATTTAAGGGGCTGGTGATGACTTATAATGTCCCAAATGTCTTAGGACCTGGATATTTGAAGGAGCGGCTCCTTCTGTATTTACCTGCGCACCCCCTAAGATCTGGATAAGATGTCTTCCTTTGGGAGCCCCCTTTGAAGGAGACCAGAAGAGTGGCTCCCCAGGGAAGGGCCTTCTCTGTCGTGGCGCCCTGGCTGTGGAATGAGCTTCCCAGAGAGGTGTGCCTGGTGCTGACACTTTTTTCATTTTGGTGCCAGGCCAAAGCCTTTTTATTTCCCCATTATTTTAAGTGTTAATAGTGTTTTAAGATCGGATTTTATGCATTTATTGTAATTTTTGGATGTTGTATCCTATTTATTTATTGTATCACTGCCCTGAGACATTGTGAAGGGCAGGATATAAAAGCCTCAAATGAATAAGTAAACAAACAAACCTATTTTTGAGGCACCTCAAATTGGTGACGCCTGAGAAATATCTTTTGGTCACTGTTCTGGCCAAGATTTTTGAATTGCTTTGCAAGGTGACCCCACAGAGAGCCTGTTCTAGTGGTTTAATCTGGAAATTGATGAAACTCACTTCCTCCTTTCTTAACCAAGACCAAGACTTGATTGCTTGCATCTGCAGTTGGGGAGAAGACCTTCAGCTCCCTCAAATGAGGGTGGGAACATATTGTCAGTGTATTCCGAATGTTACCTGCAGCCACCTTGGGGTTTGGTTGTCAGTAATGTTAAACTGTAGTTGATAGAGTTGCAAATGTCAGTTGGTAGAATAATTAATTTGTTCTTGGGTCTCTCCATGGTTTGTTCAAAGCACAAGTCAGAGTTCCAGATTGCATGTAGCAACAACTAAGCCAGTATGGGCAGTCTCGTAGGTTCACTAATCAGACCTCAAATGGTTACAGCATGTGCAAATTTATTTTATCTGTTCCGCTGGGTGAGAGATTTTCTTAAATGTTGTGATGGACTCATTTAAAGAGTCAGTCCTGGTGCCTGGTTCTTCTGGAGACGAGGCTTAAGTGGCTCAGCTGAAGTGGACTCAAACTGTGTGTTGTACATGACATATGCCAAGCTCGCAGGCTGCAAGGGGCAAAAATGCTTTTTCCTGTTGAATAGGGTGCCCCTTTGGAGGTGCTTCAGATCGTTAAATTTGGTGCAAATGCACGCGCGCGCACACACACACACACACACACAGGGCAGAGACAACTAGAGAGACATGGATCTCCAACATAATCTGCGTAACTGAGAGGATAAATCCCTCCCTGGTTTCTTGTGTCCCGCAGGACTGTGAAGACCCCAACCCCCTCATCCGGGCCCTGGCTGTGCGGACCATGGGCTGCATCCGAGTCGATAAGATAACGGAGTACCTTTGCGAGCCACTGAGGAAGTGCCTGAAGGACGAGGACCCCTATGTGCGCAAGACGGCTGCTGTGTGTGTGGCGAAGCTGCACGACATCAACGCGCAGCTGGTGGAGGACCAGGGCTTTCTGGATACTCTGAAGGACCTCATCTCGGACTCCAACCCGATGGTGATTGACCACTTTCCTTGCATTTGCCGTGGCGGCCATAGTTCCTAGGTGTCTTTGTCTTTCTCAGGAAAAAAGGGCTTAAGATAACTTACAACCAACTTAAAACATGCAAAATTTAAAACAGCTAAAAAGCAAGTTATCGACTAAAATACCACCATTCCATAAAACAGCCAGAATATCTCTGGCAATCATAAACGGTTCAGCTGATGCATTAAACAGCTTCATCGTGTGCCTCTAGTATACCATGCAATACAGTACAATAGAAATAGAGTTGGAGAAGGCCCATAAGGCCCTGGAGTCCCACCCCCTGCCCCACTTCCATGTGTGGCCACCCATCCAGCTGCAGGCCCACGCTTTTCCAGCTTGGCAACGGTGACTCGACATGCTAGCTTGATACAGGGCTATGCAGGGAGGCAGAGGAAGCTCAGCCTGGTGCCAGGCAGGTCTTACTGGGGGGAGCAGTCCGTAATTACTGTGGGGGGAAGGTCCTCAAAAGAGCCCTCTCCCCTGTGGCCAGTTCTCAGAGGAGGTTCTTGGTGGTTGGCTGCAGATGCTGCCACTGTGACCCCCGCTGCTTTCTCCAGCCTCTGCTAAAAGCCAGAGGCTGTCCATGTCTTCACTGCAGGAGGCTGCTTCTCTTCAGCCCCCACTCCAGGGGTGGCGCACAGCAAGCCTGGAGCCAAATGTGGCTCTTGAAGGTCCCCAAGTGGCCATGACCCCTCCTCCTGGTGTTCTCCCCGCCCCCAGCACCTGATCAACAGGTAGTTTGCAGGCTTTTGTGCAGCGTTTCTCCCTGTTCTGAAAGGTCTAATTGTTTTTGGTAATTTTTTGAGAGGTGGTGTGGTGTTAAGAGCACAGGACTGGGACTCGGGAGGTCCAGGCCCTTGTCTCCGCTCAGCCATGGAGCTCACCAGGTGACCTTGGGCCAGTTAAGACCCTCAGCCCAGCCTGCCTCACAGGTTGCTAGGGTAAGACTGAGAACAGGAGGAGAATTACGTGAGCCACCTTGACTTCCTGGAAGGGAGGAAAGGTGGGATACAAATATAATTGGTTAATGTTAGCCTTACCCTTTCGCCCTTGCTTGATCCACTCCAAGAATGCAGCTCTGGGACAAAATGCAGCCTGCCGGTGGAACGAGGCTCCCTGCTTCTGCCTTGCCCCCTTCCCACTGATGCTGTTCGAGTCCAGAGGGAGCACATCTGCTCCCTTCTTGCTAAATGGGAGCCTTTGACCTGTGGGTTGTGTCCTTGCCCAGGGCCAAGGCAAGCAGCCTGAGAGTTCTCAGCCAGTGTCATTGCTCTGGTTCTCCTTCTGCAGCCCGGAGGTCCAATTTGCATGTGCATCAGAGTCGAGGGGCAAAGTTTTCCTGGGACCGTACCATTGCTGGCAATGTGTGCACTCCCACTCTTCCACCCAACAGCCCCCACCAGTGCCTGCGCTTGGACAAAGTAGCATGTCACAGAAATATCTCCCTGACATGTTGTGTCTCCAGGGCAAGGCTGTTTTGCATGTACTCATAATTTGCATGCTTGCCATTAAACAGATGGATATTTGCATTTCTGCACACAAACACACAGTTTCAGTCAAGTGCTGCTTTACTTGACTCCACTCCAGAAAAGCTGGAGTTGTCCTTTGGTTTGGCCAACTGGCCTTGTTTCTCCCTCCTCATCTTACAGGCAGGTTTTTTGTCCTTGCCGCAGTGCAGTAGCTGGTGTTGAATTCTGTTCTGGGTGACAAAACTCTTAATTCCTGTTAAGCATAGAAGACCAAACCATGTTGGTCAAATGAGAATAGCAGGACAGTACCGTGTACTTGTTGTTCTCTGAGCATGCAGCCAGTTGGGGGCGGGGGGAATGCTTACGCCTGGTGTTGGCACCCTTGTTTGTCCGTCACCATCTTTTTAAAAGGCACATGCTTGGAGAGTTATTGGCCTTTCCTGCAGACAAATCCAAATGAATTTTTCATTTAACCAATGCCTTTGAAAAGTCCCGCCGAAAGAGTAGCACCCTGGCTTGGTGGGAAAAAGGTTTCCTGCCCCATAACCCCTGGACTTCCGAGGGAAGGCCGTAATAGTGGTGTTGCCCATTCTGTTCTAAGTTTCTCCAGGGAGGCTGGGAAAGAACATGCTGCCAGTCAGTGCTGGCATACTGGGCTAGATGAAAATGCTGACCTGTTACTCCCTGTTAGTGTGGGCAAGAACTCAACTTGTGTAAATGGACTAGCAGCTCTGACTTGATCCCCTGGTTTGTTTATTTATTCAAAATATTTATATCCCATTCTATACAAAAATCGCCCCAGGGTGGCTTACAAAAACTATATCAATTGATAAAGTAACAAATAACAAGGATAAACAACAAAACATAATACTAACAAAACATAATCAAAATCAAAATGCGACTGAGTTTTAAACCCAATTAAAATTCCTAGTTCTTAAAATAATTAAAATAAAATAAACTTAAAAAAAGGATTTCACCTGGTGCCGAAAAGATTATAAAGTCGGCACCAGGCGAACCTCTCTGGGGAGCGCATTCCACAGTCCGGGCGGCTCTGCAGAGAAGGCCCTCCTCTGGGGAGACACCCTCTTTCCCTCCTTCAGGGAGGGTCCCCAGAGCAGAGCCTCTCCTGCGGATCTTAGGGGGTGCGAGGGCATATAGGGAAGGAGATGTTCCTTCAGGTATCCTGGTCCCAAGCCCGTGGGTTGTCAGGGCCATCAGGGCAAGTGGGCATGTTGCTTCCTACATCCTCGCCGCTTCCACTTTGCACAGAAAACAGCCCAGGAATGCCCCATTCCCAGGTTGTTCAGCTCAGTGTGCAGACCCAGAACTCTGGATTGTTGAGGGAGAAATAGTCCAGCGTTTTAACCCCGGGCTTGTCACTGTGCTGGATAGCCCTGCACTTTGGGTGGCTGTCATTGGTTTTCCTGCCACTGTACTCTGCCCAGAGCCAAGGAGCCATCGCAGCAACAGACACAGGGCATGTTTGGCAAGCTCAAGGAGTCCCCCCCATGTCTCCCCATGATTTCAGCGGGGCTGGGGGCGGGGAATGAAGGGTAGGAGAAGGCCGAGGCAAACCTGTCATCCTCATGGAGCCCCACTGAGCAAGGAGGGGGCGAGCGCCTGAGGAGGAGCACCCAAGCAAATGTGGCTCAGATCCAAACAGAAAGGGGATGATGACAATGCCCCCTCTCTGCAGGCATCGCCCCCACCTCCTTTTTCAGGCTGGTGGTGGCAGGAAGGGGGCTCCCTCACCACTCACTGCCATGGCCAGACCTTTCAGCTGGGCACTCCCGAGTAAGCGGACACAGCCGGCAGGGTCCGATTTTTCCCTCCCTGCACCACCAGCAAGCTGCAGAAGGGCGTGGGGGAGACTTCAGCGCTGCCGTGGAATCCCACGCGGTGCCTGCAGGAGAAGGGGCGAGTGGGGGTGGGCAGGCACGTGTGGACACCTGTGGGCCCCAGTTATCTGCTAGGCACCTCAGTCAAAGGTGCCTTTCGGAGCAACCCTCCACTGGGACAATCAAATGGAGCAGCTTTCTGCATGGTGCGAACCCGCACAGCGTGGGGATTTGGCGTGATAGCACTGCAGGCCTTTCCTCCCTCCACAAAAGGTTTCTTCTTTCCCTGTGTTTGCCCCTTGGCCAGGTGGTAGCCAACGCAGTGGCTGCCCTCTCCGAAATCGCGGAGTCCCACCCGAGCAGCAACCTGCTCGACTTGAACCCGCAGTCTATCAACAAGCTGCTCACCGCCCTGAACGAGTGCACGGAGTGGGGCCAGATCTTCATCCTGGACTGCCTGGCCAACTACCTGCCCAAGGACGACCGCGAGGCCCAGAGGTGAGCGCCGTGGCACGGTCCGTTGGCGGGCGCCTGACTCGAGGGAGGCACCCGTCTGTGCCCCACGCCTGTGTGGTGCACTGGAGCGGTTAAACCCCACCTCTCTGCCCAACTCGGGGTGGCGAAAAATGGGCACTGCACTGAGCCGTTGCACCCAGTCAAGGCAGAAATGGTGGGAAAAGTAGAAGAGCCACTGGGGGTGCATGCATTATTTTGTGAAAAATTAAATTGTGAAATGCGGAAGTCGACAGGAAGGTAGGAAAGGGAGACGAGACCCGAAAGTGTCAGGGAGCATGTGGAGGTCGTGTTTGGACCAGTGCTGTCCAATCGCGCCCGCGAATCTGCCTGCTCCACTCCTGAGGCCACACGTACCTGAGCGGCCTGAGTCTCATGACCTGCAAGCTCTTCCTGGAAGAAGCCCCAAGGCTCGGGCAGCTTGAGTGCCGAGTTCGCAGTTGGCCACTGGGTCCTGATTCTCGCACTCGTGGTTTTGGGGGGCTGTCATGGCAGCAGACACAGCACCGTCCACGCGCACAGCATCCCGCCAGTGCTGACTGCCTTCCGCATCTGCTCCTGAAGCAGCCAGCCCACAGAAGGAAGGCTTGTGGAGGTGCTGAAAGCTGTGAGAAGGGTGGCCCTTGCCCCGAGAGGCTCGTGCTCCACAGAAGGAGTGGGCGACAGGCAAAGGGCATGCAGTCCTGCCGGTCACACGGCCCTGAGCGTGGGCGCTGTTGGCGTGCTGATTCACCACCTTTTTCGGGATGGGCACTGACATGGCCTAGCGCTTAGGGTTCCGGGGGCAGGGCGGTAGCCTCCTTCCAGCCCAAGGGCTGCTTTTGGAGGTGCTCTGAGTGGGGGGAGGCGCATTCCGGGGGTGGGCAAAAGGGGAAAGGCCAAACATGCCAGCATGTTTTGGCTTAAAGCCCTTCCTGCTAAGCCTTCCGACAGGCATTTCAGGTTTTTAGAATAGCTGTAGGCAAATGCTCAAACCAAGAAGCCACCAAGTGATCTGTGGTTGGGGGGGGGGGGCAGGAAGGGGTTGGGCCAGAGCAGGACCAAGACCATCTGGGAGCACCAGCTGGCTGGATTTTGCTCCCAAGCGTGAGGGTCAAAGTCTCTGGTGTAGGGCATGGAGTTGCCCTACAGGCTTCACAGAAAATGCGGGGTTTGGAATGGAGGGTGTCGGAGAAAGTGCAGAATGATTATGGGAGCCAGAAACAACAGGAAGGCCGAAAATGGTGCAGCTGGGGGGGCAGAGATTGCATGGAGTGATCAGTCAGGATGTCAGCGCAGAGAGATAAGGTGCAAAGGCCAGAGAGCTTTGAAGATTAGGCTTGGGAGCTTGTGCTTGATCCGGAAGTGGGTGGGAAACCGGCAGGGATTTGGGAAATGGCACTGCCTCTTCAGGGCACTGAGAGGTGAATGATCTTGCGGCAGTGCCAGCCACTGCAGTAGCTTCCTCTGAAGCAGTCTGTGGTGCGCTTGTGAAGACCCTTCTCTTTGCCCATGCTTTGTCTGAAGGGATTGTGCTGCTCGGTTGAGTAATTTCTCTGGCTTTAGTTTCCTATAGCTTTTAGGCATCTCAGCTGCTGAATATTTCTGTTAAGATGCCTTTTAAATTCTGATTTTCTAACTGGCTTAGAGATTTTTAGGTGGCATAGAAATTGGAATAGTTGTCCTATCGATCCTCCAAAAGCCCCTGGCATCTGTCAACATTATCAAGAAAGCTGGGCTGGACCTACAGTTTTTGGGCTCAGTGAGCCGGTTGAGAGGTCCCCCCACTGCTGTCTCTGTTTCTGTCATGCAGTATCGTGAATTAACAGGCACCGTTCAAGACAGCGTAGCATTGCCCCTAAGGAGAGTGCAAAAGTCCAGCAGTCTGTGACCCACTGCTAGTAGTTTTCTTCCCCAAGAGGAGCAGGTCTCTTTAAAGCGAATGGATCTGGATTCCCTTTTTAAAAGAAATAGGCACTCTCAAATTCCTGGGGTTGCAACATGGAACAATATAAAGTTGCTTGGAAAGTTCTTTTGCCCCAGCCATAGTAAGGATTGTTGCTGGGGCACCAGGGAGTGGGGCATCCTGAGTGGGTGGCAGGAGTCCTGCTGAAAGTCAAAACACAGTGGCATTGAGTCCCTGCGAGTCCCGTCATCTCCGTATTGCTGGTCATCAGTCTCTCTCTCCCGCATCCTCAGCATCTGCGAGAGGGTGACACCCCGGTTGTCCCACGCCAACTCTGCCGTGGTCCTTTCAGCTGTGAAGGTGCTGATGAAGTTCATGGAGATGCTTTCAAAGGACCTGGATTATTACGGCACCTTGCTGAAGAAGCTGGCCCCCCCGCTGGTCACCCTGCTGTCGGCAGAGCCCGAGCTGCAATACGTGGCGCTCCGGAACATCAACCTCATTGTGCAAAAAAGGTGATTTCTCCGCGGACCCAAAAGGGAAGCGGAAAGGCAGAGGTGTGTGTCCATCTGGACAGGGAGGTGCTCTCGGGCATCTGTAGGTGGCAATAGACATCATGGCTTTGTGTAACGCAGGATGTCAGTGTGCCATCATGCAAAATGAATACAGTTTTCAGTGTAATCCGTCATATTGGGTGGTAGACACGCCAGTTGGTCATCTTGGTTGGCAGTGGTGGAGTTTTCCTCCGGCCCCTCTGGAGGGCCACCCGGCTGGGAAGGATCACAACTCCCATCCGCAGAGTGTGCTGTGTGAAAAGGGGTTCTCAGTGGCCAGGCATGATTTTCCCAACTTCCTCCTGGCAAAACAACAGCACATCCCGCCAGGCCTCCGCAAAGTGCATGCATGGCTTCCAGTGAGGTTGAATTGTCAGCCACCCTTGGGGGTCTTTTTGGCTAAAGAGCGAGGGGAGATGCTTGAAGTCCATAAAAGGAGGTGAAGTTGGTGGCACAAATTTCAGCACAAGCATGCCATGGGCAACTTGTAAGCCTGAACTTTGGGAGGGCCACGATTCCCTCAGCCCCAGCCAGCAGAGTCAGGAGTGTGCGGTGGGTGGGGTGTCACAAGCTGGCCACCTGGCTGAGGCAGGCGGAAGACCCATCAGGGTGGTGGGTCAAGCTGGAGAAGGGTGCCTGGGAAATGAGAGCCGAGAGAGAGAAGGAAGGTGCCTCGGAAATGAAAGCTGCGAGAGCAGCCGGCGCGCAAGTGATTGCGCCTCCTGTTGCTGGCCCTGCAGGTGGGCAGGTGGCCTCTGGGCTGGATCCAGGCACGTGCAGGGAACAGGTGCGGGGCTTTAGGGAGGAGCATTAGCTTGCCAAGAGCATTGAGAAGGCTTTACTCATGAGTTTGGTAGAGGTCTGATCATGGAGGGAGCCCAGGACGGTTGCTGTTTGCATCTGAGAGCACCAAGAGAAAGAGTCATTGAAAGAAGGTCTTCCATCTTCCCTTGTTTGGCCCTCACTGAGAGGGGAAACTGGCGACCTGCACTGCTTGTCTGCTCTCCTGGATCGCATCTCTCATCTTTCCCTGCTGCAGACCTGAAATCCTCAAGCATGAAATGAAAGTCTTCTTCGTGAAGTACAATGACCCAATCTATGTCAAACTGGAGAAGCTCGACATCATGATCCGCCTGGCCTCCCAGGCCAATATTGCACAGGTGAGCTCTGCGGAGCCTCTCCTCTCCTCTCCTCTCCTCTCCTCTCCTCTCCTCTCCTCTCCTCGTGTGCACCTTCCCCAGTGTGTGCAGGAATGACAACTCTCAGCATCTTTAGCCAGCCAAAATCCATGCAGTTGTGCAGCTGCAAGATACCAAGAAATATCAGGGTGTTGCATGCCTGCTACCTTGCACCTGCAAATGCAGGGTTGGAACCACCTGAGGGGGACCCTCCCCATCCTTGCATGTTTGGGAACTTTCACTGCATCCAAGGAATCTGAGGAATTCCAGCTAAGACGGGACATGTGGGACCCGCAGCAAAATGGTGAAATGGCTCCTTCCCGCAGAGCAGATGAACCCTTGTTCCTGTCTTCCTCCCAAACCGCTCAGGATGTCTCCTCCTCTCCTGCCACCTCCCCACCCCCAATTTCCCATGTGGTTTGCTTTCCTCGGGTGCGTTCAGCAAGCGAGGGCGACCGCTGCTCATGGATCTGTTGTTTTAGAGTGGGGGGAGGCCACCCCCGTTCGTCTTTCGAAAGGGGTGCTTTTGATGTCTGCCCACGGGTCTTCTCTGGGCTGCTGGTGGGACCCCCTCGTTTCCCGATGTCTTCCATCTTGGCTCCGTTGGTGTTGGTGCGCACCACCGGAGTTCCTCACGGGAGGGGGTTGTAACAGCTTGCCGGCTCTTCTGTCTCCCTCCCCACCCTCTGCATCCCATGGCAGGTTCTGTCTGAGTTGAAGGAGTACGCCACGGAGGTGGACGTGGACTTCGTGCGGAAGGCTGTCCGAGCCATCGGCCGCTGCGCCATCAAGGTGGAGGTGAGCCTCCCTGGGTTGTCTTGGGCTTGGGGCAAAGGCCACGCAGAGCCGCTGTGCCCCAGCAAGGCTGCCCAGTGCGACAGAAGCAACTTCCTCACTGGAGGAAGTCTAGTGGCCAGCTCTGCTTTTTCAGCAGTGTGTTTATCTGTTGAAAAACCCGCTCCCTTTTCTTGGCATCTGTCCTGTTGCTTGTTTGAACTGCTTGGGCCTTATCTCAGAGAAGGGCCGTAGTTCAGTGGCTGAGCACTCTGGATACGCAGGTTCCCAGGGTCAGGCCCCAGCACTTCAGAGGGTGGGGGCAGGGGAGACAGTCGGGATATTCCGGAGAGCTGCTGCCAGTCAGAGTAGAAAGTTCAGGGCAAGAGCAGCCACAGCTTCCTGTGTGCTTCCCAAGCATGGAGTGCCACATGCAGGTGAACACCGCTGAATGTTCTGAGGTGGAAGGCTTGGGCAGGGGATGAGCTCCTTCTGCAGCCTTCCCCAGATTGCTGCCCTCCAGGTGGGCCGGCTGACAACTCCCATCGGTGGCAGAGAGTAGGGAAGGCTGCCTGGTGGAAGCTGGCAGTCTCCGTGCAGGAATGCGGCCGTGGAGGAGTGGAGCCAAGCGGAGTCTTGCAGCCCAGGGACGCTGCCGCTCGGTCGTCCCCCGCCCTGGCCCCAGACCAGTCCCCTGCAGTGTGCACGGCACTCGGCACGCCCATCCCCTTTGTGATGGCCAGGAAATTCCCGGTCTTCCTGCTGCCAGATAGCTCAGCAGCCCTTTAACCTTCCTGTTCGGCCAGTATCTGCCAGGCTTGCAAGCCTTGTGGATGAACCCGGTGCTGCTCTTCTCCCCTCCCCTCCCCTTTCTTCCTGCCAGCAATCGGCGGAGCGCTGTGTAAGCACGTTGCTCGACCTCATCCAGACCAAGGTCAACTATGTGGTGCAGGAAGCGATCGTTGTCATCAAGGACATTTTCCGCAAGTACCCCAACAAGTACGAACGTATTTGCTGAGTTGCTGACTTCAGTGTGGCATGAGGGGTGGGGGGAGAGCTGCTGTGTGAGCAAAAGGCCCCCAGTAGCTTTTGCCCTGGCTGCAAACTCACTCGGGCAGGCACACAGAACTGGGTGCAGCCCAGACATGTTGAACCTGAGCTTCCCCAATGGAGAGAGAACAGAGGAACAAATTATCTTCCTTCAACGTCGCTTTGGCTTTCTCTGGCCTGGCGCTTCCAGATATTCGGGCTGCAACTGCCATGCTGGCTGGTGGACGAAGGCAGCTGTAGGCAGAGTCTTCTGGAGAGTAGCTGGCGGGGAAAGAACACACAAGCCTTTAAGCAAACTATTCTTTCTGCTTCTGCTTAACTTCACTCCCTCTGTGCAACATTGCAATCATGGGGCAGAATTCTCATGAAAATGGGGTGAGCCAGCTGCAGGAGCAGGGGAGGGATTCCTGCCTATCCCCCCTCCTTCCTCCTTTCCTCCTGCTCCTTTCCTTCCTTCCTTCCTTTCATTAAAACCCTGAGAGCCACCATCTCAAACCAGGTGCAAAGCACATTCTTGGTAGCCCGGGAATTGGTTTTGAGTGTCGGAACCGAATCCTGCTCAAAGGCCTTGTGTGCTCCCACATCTGCTTGTGGGCTCTTCCTCACTGGAGACGTTCAAAAGCACCTGGGCAGCCCTCTGAGTGGGCCGGTGTGACTTGGTGTCCTGCAGCAGCAGGGGGCTGGACCCGATGGCTTCCTGGCCCCTTCCAACTCTCCTGTGCTATGATTCTGTACTTCTGTTTCTGACCTGCAAGCTTCACTTGGCTGCTTCTGGGTTCCTCTGTTTTTTCCTCTGTAACCCGTCACCTGCTGTCCTTATGCTTAGGTACGAAAGTGTGATCGCCACCCTGTGTGAGAACCTGGACTCCCTCGATGAACCTGAGGCCCGGGCCGCCATGATCTGGATCGTGGGGGAATATGCTGAGCGCATTGACAATGCGGACGAGCTTCTCGAGAGCTTCCTGGAGGGGTTCCACGACGAGAGCACCCAGGTGGTGGGGCAGGGCTGGGGACATGGGGTAGCCAGGCAGGTTTGGCAGCAAATACTCTTGCAGTCTTCCTCAAACGGGTGCCCTCCAGAGGTGTTGGAGCACAACGCCCAGGTTGGCAAAGGCTGCAGCATGTCCCCTAGGAATGAAGTTTGTCCGCTTAACAATTTATAGAACACAGTTTTGGGATCTGAACATGGATAATAAACCATCTATAGATAGGCAGAACCAAGCTTCCTCACATCCCGCAGTCACAGCCTGTCTTAGAGCTTGTTGCTCTAGGGACCAGGTTGCTTGCAGTCCCAACCCTAAATCCTAGACACAAGCTGTAGATTTTATAGAGGTCTCCTCTCTCCTTTTTTCGGAGACTGTGAGAGAGGCCATGCCTCTGCTTCTTGGGAGACGGGGGGGGGGGGGGGAGGCGGCTGAAGCTGCTTCAACGAAGCAGTTTCATTTCTTACAGCAAAACCAGTCCTTATCTAGGGAAACTGTCATGAGCAGAACTGGCTGAATCAGACTAGATAGCCTGGGAAGGCCCCTTCTGACTCGCTATGTTTCTATGAATGTCATTGGGAAAGGCGATTATCGCCGATGCTTTTCCTGAACAATGTAAGTGGAGCCTATGCCTAAAAGCCTGGAATAGCTCCAAGAACCTATCCTGGCTTGGGGCTCTGAGAGCTTGTTGCACTGCATGTCGAGCCTTAATAGACCTTCTCGCCATTCTTCTGGTATACCTCCATATATGCATTGTGAAGGGGTGCTTGCCCTTTGCTCCTGGCAGAAGGCAGAGCTCCGCTTGGCCAGAGCTCTTCTCCAGTGAGAATACAGCCTGGGCGGTGAGGGTCCCTACGGCAGGGGTGTCAGGAAAACTGGCTTGATCAGACTGATTCGGACTCATGGAAGGTGGGGGGCTAGGCAAAAGCTTAGGGAGCCCCCAAATGATCCTGAGCAGGGGGAAGGGGAATAGAGTGGCAGGAGAGCCGCACCCTCTGGGCCTGAGGTCCAGGGCCCCTTCCCTATAGATGGGGAATCCCTCTGTGTGCTCAGCGAGCTTTCCCAGGTATGCAGCGCCCTTGAGGACACCCTGCTACGCGAGACCTCTGTCCTTTGCCCCCCGCACCAGCCGTTCCTCCGCTGCCCGGGATCTCCCCAGCCTCGCACCTGCTTGTGTGTCCTTTGAGCTGAGCTGCTGCCATTCAGCCCCTCGAATCGAACAAGCTGGCGTCCCTCTGATGTCTCGACTCTTTTCCCTCCCTGGCACGGCCGGTGCAGGTGCAGCTGCAGTTGCTGACGGCCATTGTGAAGCTGTTCCTGAAGAAGCCCACCGAGACCCAGGAGCTTGTGCAGCAGGTCCTCAGCTTGGCCACGCAGGTAATGCGGAGTCCGGGCCCTTCCAGTTCCTCAGAGGAAAACGGGTTCGGGCCACAGTCCTCGCCCTGCTGGGAGTCGCAAGCTTGCTTCTGTCCCGACCTGCACAGGATTGTGCCCTGAACCTATTAACGTGTTTTGCCAGGATGGGGGCCTTCTCCTTTCAGGCGCGCGGGGTGTAAGGAACTCCACAGCCGTGCCCAAGCTCCTCTCGTAGCGACTGAGGGAAGGAGGGATCCAACCACTGCCCACAGAGTTTCCTAGCTGAGCAGGGATTCCACCTGCCTCTCGCTTCCTCGCATCCATTCTGGCTGCTGCACCTCCGCTGCACTTGCACCCCGTTGCGTGACAGAAGCCCGTGTCTTCCCTGCCCGAGAATTGGTCTTGAAGAGCCCACCCCAGCCCGGAGGCACTGTGCACCCCTGGCTGTCCACTGGGGGGGCGACGGCCATGGCCAGCGGAAGTTCTAGTCCAAAGCAGCTCAGAAAGGAGGCCTGGCTGCTTTGCCCCGGGACGGGCAAGCCAGCTTCGTGCTAAGGAGCGTCCCTCAAGTGGTGGGTGGCGGTGTCCCCCTTTCCCCTTCCTCATCGGAAGCAGCGTTTGGGGCTGCAGTTCCCTCCTGGACTGCTGAACATGCTCTAGGCTCCACCCGCCACCCACCTTTGGACGCCCTGCAGGCCTTCTTTTGCAGCCTGAAGGCCTAGACGTCTGGGCTCCATTTTCTTTTACAGCCAGGATGCTGCAGGATTCAGCTTGTCAGAATGCTGAACTCAGACCTCCATTCCAAATGTTGTGCATGCAAAGGGCAACTGGGAGCGTCGCTGGGCAAACCGCCCCTGTTGGGAGCAGCCCAGAACTGTTGCGAACCACCCAGCGAACTTTTGCTATCGAATGGCCCAAACGGGGGTTGCTTGAATCAAGTGCTGCTTCTCCCTCTTGGATAACATCGCCAGCCTTCACTGACGTCCTGGCTCTCCCACGAGAGCCCCCCACACGTCTCACACACTCTTCTTTTCCCTCCTGACTTGCAGGATTCAGACAACCCTGACTTGCGGGACCGTGGCTACATCTATTGGCGCCTGCTCTCCACGGATCCCGTGGCAGCCAAGGAAGTGGTTCTGGCCGAGAAGCCTCTCATCTCCGAGGAGACCGACCTGATTGAGCCCACGCTGCTGGACGAGCTGATCTGCTACATCGGCACGCTGGCCTCCGTGTACCACAAGCCCCCCAGTGCGTTTGTGGAGGGCAGCAGGGGTGTCGTTCACAAGAGCCTCCCTCCGCGGACGGGCTCGTAAGTTCTTGGTGTCAGGGTTGGGGTGAGCCCTTTCAGCATCCATCCTCCAGGCTTCTTCTCATGATTGGCGTGGTCCTGCAAAGCGAGCGAAGCCCAGGGGAAGTCCACAAACACTCACAAGCCCCAGTTGCGCGGCCGACACCTTGCCCAGCGCCATTCCTGGCAGCCAGCCTTCTCTCCCACAGACGAAGGTGCTGCTTGCGCAGCGCATGGGGTCCGATTCCTGGCGAGTACCCAGCGAAACCTGGGTGCGCGCAACAGGAATCTGGTCTCTGGGCCACTGCAAAGCATACCGGAGTCTGGAAAACCGGAATCAGGGAATCTGGCAATTTTCTGCACATGAAGGAATTTTTCCATACGTCTCTCCTTGGGGCCTCTCCGAAGCCTACCTGTGGTGCAGGGATGTGGGGTGTAAGAGAACCGTTGTACCTCAGTGGCTGAGTTCACACACAAGGCACACCTTGGCTGTAAGCCGTGGTGGGTGGGTTGCTTTGCAAAGTAGCCACAATGAGCCCAGTAGCCAACTGGGCTCTTCTCGGGTATTTTGCTCCCTGCTTCTCCCTCATTCTTCCGGTTGGTTTCTCAGGGCACTGTGAGAAGGACTGAGACTCCCCCCTCTGGCAGCCGTGGTTGCAGCCTAAGTCAGTTCAGCTCTTCGCGGCTTCAGAGAGCCCCACCAGAAGGACGGGGAGCTGATCAGGCACCCCTCTCTCCTGCTCCCTCAAGCGGGGTGGCAGCGCCTGGCCCCCTCTGCATCATTGCTCCAAGCATAAGGCAGGGCTGTGGAGCGGGTCTCTGCTGGCAGCTGGGGAGGTCTACTCTTGAGTTGCTGGCAGAGATGGGTGCTCTGTGCCGCCACGGGCAGGGAAGGCAGCCCCCGCTTCAGCACTTTGGTGGCTCCCAGCAGCGGGCATCCCCCAGCAGCTGCTTGGCAAGGGTGGCAAGGGAGTCTCCCAGCTTTTGCCAAAGAGGTCACTGGCTGTTGTGCCGGGGATGGTGCAGCAAGGCAGTGGAGTGACGGCAAGCCTAGGGCAGCCCGTGGGTTCAGGGTGGGGGGAAACAGCCTGGGGCACCAGTGCTGTATTTGCACAGCTTAAGAATAATAAGTAATAATCACTCGACAACCCACCTACAATAAGCCTTGGTGGATTGTTGTGCCTTCTGAACCAGCTTACTCTTGTAAGCTCTTTTGGATTTGGGTTTTGTTTTTGTTTTTTAGCTGCCCATCTCTTGTCAGGCTAATTAATTCCATATCAGTTGGGTTCACCCTCACTGCGAAGAGAAGGTGCATATACCTCCTTTGTGCTTGGGTGGGAGCGGATCCTGAGCTCGTGTGCCCACCCACACACTCGGCAGCGGAACACATCCTGGTGCTTGAGTGCACAAGAGGCCCCACCCCATTCGGCAAGACTGCTCAGGCTCACGCGATCCCCCAGCCGCGCGCTCGTGCAGCCCCTGCTCCCGGCAAATAGCCCTTCGGGATGTGAGGTGTCCCCGGGCCCATTCTCCTTTACAGTACCCTTGCTGTACTTGTTTCAATAGTACACAGCCTGCCTGCGGGTATTTCTTTGATTTCCTTCAAGGAATTGGGGGTCGCGAATGTGGGCCTGCTTCCCCTTTGTCCTCACAATCGCCCTGTGAGGAAGGTTAGGCAGAGGGGTATGGCTGGCCCATGGTGATGCCATGGTTTAATGGCTAAGAGGGGGTGTTTGGGGCCACGTCCCTCTTTCTGGATCCCACAGAAACTCTCCAAGGCCATTTGGAGCAAATAGACGATGTAACTGGATCATGTCTTCCCCTCCCCTCTTGCAAACTCAGAAGTGAAAGTGCAGAGAGCCCAGACGCCGTCCCTGCAGGGCCTCCCCCGTCCGAGCAGCCGGCCGTCATCCCCACGCAGGGTGACCTCCTGGGTGACCTCCTGAACCTTGACCTAGGACCCCCTGTGAGTGGCCCGCCGATCGCTACCTCATCCGTACAGATGGGCGCCGTAGACCTGCTTGGCGGAGGCCTGGACAGCCTGGTAAGTCCTCGCTTGTGTGCCTGGGTGATCACAGAACCCCGAATCTCGTCCCTGGGGGCGCTGGCAGGTGTGGCACGTGGTTGATTCCAGGGACCCTTTAAACGCAGGTCGATTCTCCCCTCTCCCGCTTGGTGTCCTCCAGCGGTGCTGGGCCTTCTGGGGATTGGAGCCGAGCACATCCCTTCCACTCCCCTCCCCCCATCCGGCAGAGCCCCTCCCCCAAGGTTGCACCGGGAGTGGGAACTCTTTCTCCCAGGTGTCCCCTGACTGCCAGCACTCTTTCCAAACATCGATCAGCCATTTTGACAACAGTGTCAGGCTGATTCCTCCATCCTCCCCACCCCAATTAAAATTGGCTTCTAATTTGACTTAACACCTCCCCCACAAATGGGTACAGTACTCATTAAAAGACATTTGTTTTTTACCTTTTCCAAGGGAAGAGCATACATAAATGAGGTCTTCTTTAATTAAATCACAGCTCTTGATCCAGGTTGATCCAGCTTTTATTTTTGTATTACTCTATTTTTGAGCTATGATTCAGCAAGTGCACCTGAGATTATGCATACCTCGTACCTTACGGTGTAGAAGAAGTCTATAGAAGAGGGTTTACCCCTTTGCACGCACTGGTGGGGCCATCGCCTTTTGCAGCCTGGGCTGGTAGGCTGGATCACCGTGACTTAAAACCAGCTGTGGTGTGTGCCACGGACCATTTGCCTCATCCGTGCAGGCACGCCTTGTTCAGTCACCTGTCCCAAGGGGGCATGGCCTGTCAGAGGGAAAACACACCTCAAATATCTGTGGGGTGTTGCTGGGTAAAGCCACCACAATTGGCTGGAAGCCATCCCGAGGCTTATGTGACTGGGACGGCATATAAAAACTCCAAATAAATAAATAAATTGTACAAACCAGCTCCAAATCTAATTGACAGACACACAAACCATATTGATGGTAACTGGCTGAGATGTCTTGAAATGCTCTTTAGAAGGATCCATAGATAAATTGGTGCCCTTCTGATGTTTCTAAAATCAGCAGGTGTGCTGCTAATTCACTTTCTCACATCCTAAGGACTTGGTTCTGTGTTTAGTAAAACCCTACATTCTTAGGTGAAAGAAAAAAAGTGGTTCCTTTGTCCATTACCCTGTTCTGAGCTCATGAGGGTTTGCAACATACAGGGCTTTTGTAAAGCTTCTGCAATGGATGTGCAGTACTTTGAAAATGCAAAACCAACTGGTTACACGCTGCTGCTAGCACTATGTACTGTTGCCGGCGCTTCTGGGTCTTCGTCTCTGTGCGTTTCATGCTGTTCTTGTTTTTAAGACACTCTAAATCAGGGGAGTTCTTCATAGAAAGGTAGCTAATGAGTTCAAGTTTTTCTTTCTGGTACACATGATTAGGTATGTGCAAGCACTGGATTAGCGTGCTGGTTGTGCGTGAGTGTGTACGCCCACCTCTGTGGCAGGGTCAACAGAATATTTGAAGAGCTGATTAGAGTTGAGAAAACACGCTTTTGTAGCTTGCAATAGGCAGGGGAGGGGGCTTGTTCTTCCTTTTCTCCTGCTGACCTGCCTCTACAGGTCTAGCGTGACAGGTAGCCTTTGTGTGTTATTTGTCTGAGTGACTAACCTCTCTCTTTTGTCCCTCCCCTTCTGTTTTTCTCTTCTTTGCCCCTTCCTGGCTTGTGTGCATTTCTCTCTTTCTCTGCATGTGGCTGGCTCTTCTCTCCACCTTGCCTGCTTCTGCTTGGAGATGGGGGACGAATCGGAAGGGGTATGGCTCAGTCCTCTTTCTAGATTTCCTGAACGTGTTTCGCTGCCAGGGCGCCGTCCCTGTGTCTCCCAACGTAACATGAGTGAGAGCAGAGGCAGCGGGGAGGGAGGCCTGTTGCAACCTCGAGTCCGTTGCCTTCCTTCCCGGCAATGAGAAAGCCATTTCAGAAAGAGGTCTTCTCCCCCTCATTCATAATCCTCGTTCTCACCAATCGGCAGTAGATTGTGGAGTACGCGGCTCGTAATTTAGCTTTTGGAACTCACTGCCACGCGATGCAGCAATGTTCACTAGTCCCAGCCAGCTTTAAAAGGGGTTCAGACAAATCCTCAGAGGAGCTGGAGAGCATTTTATCAGCCGCTGCCTAACACTTCTCGGTTCAGGAGCTACAGCTCTGTAATGGAGAGCCAGTGTGGTGTGGTGGTTAAGAGCATGTGACTGGGACTCAGACAATCCGGGTTCTAGTCCACACTCAGCCGTGGAGCCAACTGGGTGACTTTGGGCCAGTCACAGACGCTCAGCCCAACCTACCTCACAGGGCTGTTGTTGTGGGGATAAGATGGAGGAGGAGAATGATGTAAGCTGCCTTGAGCCCTTTGTAGGAAAAGGCAGGATATAACTCGAAAAATAACTAAAATAAAATAAAATAAAATGTCTTGAGGCATAAAACAGTTCTGCCCCTTTTGTGGAGGCGGTGGCTGCTGCGGCGCTGCTGAATCCTGAGGCCTTTTTGGCCAGATCCAGCAGGGCTGCTCTTGCGCTGTGCTCTTGGGAGGATTTTCATTCCAGATTTGCAGGGCCTTGGCGTGCCTGGCCCTTGCTAGCCCAAAGAAGGGTTGGGGACCCTTACACAGCCCCGTACCTCTTGCATCTGCCCCCCAGAGACAAAACTCTCAGCACTTGAATCTGTACAAAACTGCAGCAGCCCAGGTGGGGAGCCCCCCTCCCCGTGAGGGACTAGCGGCATGCTCGCTGAACTGGATGCGTCCTTTAAGACTGACCACGGCCAGGAGTGTCCGGGGCAGAGCCACCGCTGGAGCATCACAGGACTGGGCACACACCTGGCGTCCAGAAGCCTTCCTCAGCCGGGTGCCTCGCAGGTGCATCTGGCTGCAACCCCCATCACGTGATGGTTATCCACACAGGCTGAGGAAGGATGGGGGATGTGGTTCGATGCACCTGGAGGGGTGAATTGCACAGCTTCACAAGAACTCTGGCGCTTAGGTGCGAGTAGAAGTCCTCCCGATAAAGAAAATGTGTTCCGAAGATGCAGGCCAAGCTGTTCTTCCGAGCAAGGCAGGGCTCCTTAGCTGCCAAAGAAGGCCCCAGCCCCCATGAGAGCAGCAGTGAGTTCATAGAGCTGGGGGATGTGGCCCACAGCACTGCACTGCAGGATCCTGTGGAGATTTCCCTGCCTGGAGGTGTCCCTGTGGGGAGGGGCTTCGGGAGGTGGCCGAGCCCTTGCTGAAACCCCGGGGAGCCGTTGCTGCCCTTCCGTGCCTGCAGCACTGGGCCGGAAGGGCCCAGGCCTGCCTCGGAATAAGGTGGAGCCGGGAGCCTGTTGCTGCCCTGCCCTGCCGGCCCCGACCTCTCAGGACAGCAGGATTCCCTTTGTGTTATAAGTGGAAGCTTCCGAAGGCTGTCCCAAGACTCCAGCTTTTGCACCAGTGCTGCCTTCACCCACCTCCTGCCCCTGGGGTGGCTGGGGATGATGGGAGTTGTACTGCAGTGCACCTGGAGGGCTCGAGGTGGAGGAGGGCTGGATTCGGCTAGACTTGCGGCACCGGCGTGCTCCTCTCGTGCTGGCGCGTTTCTCCCTGCAGTGCCTTTGCAGGCGTTCAGTGTGCCTGTGCTTGAAGTGCTCCAGGAGGGCCCCATAGGGGGCCGGGGCCGGTGGCCGCGTGATGGCGGCACCTCCTTTGCTCTTTTTAAAAGGGTTGCACCCAAAGCATTGCGGCTTTTTCTGCCTGTCCTGATCTGATGGTCGGCTGTGTGAGAAGCAGGCTTGGTGGCTGAGGCTCCTCTGTTTTGGGGGCTGGCGGGAGGCAGTGTCCAAGCAGAATGCGGGGGGGGGGGGCGAGCCAGGAAGGCCCCTGCAGTGGGAAGATCTGCCGTGCTAGCCGAAGCTCTTCGGAACGAGGCGGAGCTGCTGCGTGGCGTGGCACCGAGCAGAGCTTTTTGAAATCGCACGCTCCGGGCACATGAGGCTCTGACCAAGCGGTGCTCACGCCTCAGCCCAGTGCCCTTCCAGTGTGTTGCAGCACAGCTCCTATCATCCCCAGCCAGCCCCTGTGCAGGGCCTCACAATCTTTCACAATGTGCAGGGCTCCTGTGTGAGACCCAGAGAGCCTCCCCGAAAGGAAGCGAGTTGGGCACTCCTGCATTTGGCAGCTGCTCTCACGAAGCTCTTCCGGCCAGCACCTGGCAGGGCTCCCCGCTCGCTGCAGGCCCCGGGAACCCTCCCGAACCCTGGCCACCCCGAGGCACCCCCCTTTGCCCTGCCTTGCAGTGGCTCGGCGACCTCGTGTGACGCGATCCCCTGTTCTCCTGCAGATGGCTGGCCCTAGCTTCGCGGCGCCCAGCACCGTCCTGCCCTCCAACCTGGGGGCGCCCCTTGGCGGGGGCTTGGGAGACCTCTTCGACTTGGCTGGCGGCGTGGGCACCATGTCGGGATCCTACGTCGTGCCCAAAACGGTGAGCAGTGCTGCCCCCTTGCGACTGCCGGAGAGCGATGGCCGCAGTTCCCGGGGACTGCCATGCCTGCGGTGTGGGGGTGTCTCGAGAGAGCAAGCCAGGCCCCGTGAGGGATTTTGAATGCATTTAGCTGTGCTTTACTTCAGCAAAAAGGGGGGGGGATAGGAGGGGGGGCTCACTTGGCTTAATTCCCTTAGCTCACAGGTTATGCCGATGGATCTGGCTGGTTTATTTGCTTTATTTATTATTGGTTTATTGCATTTGTATGCTGCCTCCTGGGCAGAGGTTCCCCAGGAGGTTCACAGAGCAATCATTAAAAATACGGAGAAAAATAAATAATAATAACCAAAACTATAAAACATAGTAGAATAAAAATGCAATATAAATACAACCATACAAATAAAAAATGCCGCTCTGCTCAGGGTGGCATAATTCCACGGCCGTTTCACGTGTGCTCCTTCCTGCTCTTCATGAGGTCCCAGGAAGCTGGCACAGCGGTGCCTCTGCCTGATGAAAGCTCCCCAGCTCCCTGCAGAGCCTTTTTGCAGCCATAAGGGACTGGAAACAACGGGGGGTGTTTCTTTCTCAACCTGGAGGTGAATCTTCTTCCCTTCCGTGGAAGAGCAACATCCCCGGGGCCTTTGGCACGGTGCTGTGTCTCCGAGCAGGTTTCAGAGGCACCTGCTCTTGGGAGCGTCATGCAGGGGCGTGTGCTCTGCTGCAGACCAGACTCCCTGAGTGAACAGGCAGGCAGCCTCTCCCCTCCAGATTCAGGCGAAGGGCATTGGAGGTTCAGCCAGGGAGCCATTTTCCCTCCCGTCTCGGAGAAGGGCTTTGCTTTGTGCGGGTGCCTTGTTAGAGGCTGTTGCAGGGATGGTGTGGAGAGGAGGAGGACCGCGAGTGCCCTGAGGTTCCTTGCGAGCAGAGAAGAAAACAAGTTATAAATAGAGCAGCGAATTAGTGAGAGCCCCCTCAACCAGCCCTCCCAAGGATCGTGACCACATGCCCAGCTGGCTCAAAACATCTGCAGAGCCGTGCAAGTACTTTCTGGCTGCCCTCCCCTTTGCTCACTCTCGTGTTCGCCGTATTCCTCCATCCTGAGCTTGTGTGGGGCTCCCAGCAGCCTGCCGGCCCCACTTAGCCCTGGCCCATCCGCAGCCTCGATGCTTTGAGGCCAGTCCCCAGCCGGAACTTTCTGGGGCAATCGCATCTGCTGGTGTGAGCCTCTGCCCACAGCGGATCGGTTTGTGCTTCAGGTCTGGATCACTGGAGAGGCTTGCTGGGTTGCGTGACCGCTGAGCAGTTGCGGCAGTCCCAAAGGGAGAATTCCAGTGTTAAAGCCCCAGAGGGAATGGTCTCTCCCACCTCACAAGCTGTCCTGGCTGGTGTTCCCAAGCCTCAGACACAATCAGACCTGAATTAGTTCTCTGTGTTGAGCTTTTGGCAAAGGCTTAGGTGGAATCCCCAGGTCACCATACCTTGCTGCGCCTTCCCCAGCTAGGCACCCTCCAGATGTGGGGGGATGCAACACCCCACACTCGGTTGCCGTCCAACCCGTCGGAAGGGTGCTGGTCGGCAAAGGCTGCGTTGGGGCAAGTCCTGCCACCAAGCCCAGGTGTGCTGTACTGAAAGAATGGTCTGGTCTCCCCATTTCAGCCTAGTTTCCCCCTCATCTGTGTCCAGTTTCGGGTTAGTGGCTCCACAGGCCTGTAGGGTGTGCGCCAGCCCGATCAGGTGTTGTCTCCCCTTTGCCCAAAGGTCTGGCTTCCGGCGGTGAAGGCCAAAGGCCTGGAGATCTCGGGCACCTTCAGCCGCCAGGTGGGATCCCTCTCGATGGACCTCGTGCTCTCCAACAAGGCCCTGCAAGTCATGTCAGACTTCGCCATCCAGTTCAACCGGAACAGGTAAAGCTGCTGCCACGTGCCGGCCTCCTCTGGGTGCGGTTGGCCTCTTGCGACGCCACACGCTCAGGAAGCCGTCCCCGTTGGAGAGGGAATCGCTGGACTGCCTCTTGTGATGACTCTCAACTTTCTGAGTGGCTGATTTGATGAGTTCACTGACCCCTCTAAGAAGTTGACTGAAGAGGCCTATTAGCCCCGGAAACAGGGCCTCCTTCAGTGTCCCAAATGGATGTTGCCCAACGGCCAGGACGCCCCGTTGGCAGTGAAGCCATATTAGATCTGCTCTAGCGTTGGTTTTCAGGCACAAAGAAGCACTTCCAATGGAACGAGGCATCCCTCCCCAGACTGGCACCCCACAGATGTCTTGGACTTCAACTCCCTCGGCCCAAACCAGGAAGCCCCACGGCCGGCAATCCCAAGGATTGTAGCCCAAACATCTGCAGGGCACCAGGCTGGGAAAGGCCGCACTGTGGGCTTTGGAAAACCAAAGCTTCCCTGGATCGTGTCAGCATTCACCATGATCGGCACTTTCCCCCTTAGACTCCCGCCACTTCCTCCATCGGCCACATACAGTGCAGAGATTGGCTCTGGGGTGTGTGACGCCATCCGCTGTGGCCAGGTGAAAACCTCTTTCAGTGGAACTGGCCAGCACGAACCGGTCGGGGCCAAACCAGTTGGGATGTGATGCTGCTCCTTCCTGATCTGGACTGAGGCTTGGGCACAGGGGCTTCGACCCTTTCCGCTCACCTTGGTCCTGGCCCTGCAGTGGCCGCTGTTTGCATCAGGAAAAAATCTGCCTGGTATTTGTTTCATGGGGCAGGAGAGAGCAGCTGCAGGGGCTCCCTGGGACCAGGGAAGGAGGAGCCAAAGCTCCCTGACTCCAGACCGCAGCCCTGGTCTGTATCAGGGTCTCCCGCAGCGGCTGAGTGCATGCCAGAAGCCCCCATCCTTTCACAGCCAATCTCATCTCATCTGGCCCTGGGCGGGCCTTCTCCACTCTTTCTGGAAATGATGGGAGCCATAGTCCAACGTCAGGGAGGACTGTCTGAAAGCTTGGGCAGAAACTCACTTCTGTGAATTCCCTGGCTTGCCTCAGCAGTGGCATCCTGGCCTCGAAGCTCCGTGGCCCAGAGCTGCTGTCTGGAAGAAATCCTTTTGCTGGTGGGAGCCTCCCGCCGCTTTCCCCCCAGAAGCAGAGTCACAGTCGCCCTGTTTGCCCCCCGTGCTTCCCACACTACTTGATGTTCGAAAGCAGGCTTTAGCGCATGGCAGTGACTCGTTTGCAGTTCGTCGAAAACATGCCTGCAGTGTAAATTGGCAGTGTAAAATACCATCCTGCGGTGCCAGAGGTCGCCAGCCTGTTTGGCTCTGCGGGCAGGTTTGGGACTTTGAGGAAGCTCTGTGGCTCTGTGACGAAAGGGGCAGACTCGTCCCAGAAAGGCCGCTGTGGAGACCAGCCTCGGAAAGGGAGGTGTCTGCAGGGAGGGGAAAAAACAAGGTTCGAGGCCCAAAGGAAGGGGGAGCGGTGGGACTGAAGGTTCGAAGGAAAGGGAAGGAAGGCTGCCCTTGCATTTTCCACACTTTTGTTTAAAACCATCTTCTCTGAAGGCGGGGGACCCTGTGACACCCATGAATGCTGGCCTGGGAGCCTCCTTGCGAGGCAGTTTGTGTTGCGTGCCCAAGCAGCAAGCCACCCTGTCTGCCGTGAACTTGGGGCAAAGAAAGGGAAAGAAGAGCCCTGTGTATCACCCTCACAGAACCCCCCAGGTGGTGGACAGACATCCCCCAGCTGTCCTGAGGGCCACGCTCCGTGTTCGCTTGCACACAAGCGGCTGTTTCCGAGAGAAGGCCTCCAAGCTGGGGCGCAGCGAGGCAGGTGGCAAGTGGCGTTCGCGCTGCGCTCGCCCCGTCCTTACCTGTGGCTGACAAGGTCTGCTCACTGGGTGTTTCCCTTCAGCTTCGGGTTGGCCCCTGCCGCGCCTCTCCAGGTCCATGCCCCGCTTGCCCCGAACCAGAGTGTGGAGCTCTCCCTCCCCCTCAACACTGTTGGCTCGGTCATGAAGATGGACCCCCTCAATAACCTCCAGGTAAGTCCCGACGCGGCTGGAGCGGCTGTGCCTGGTTGCTTGAGCAGGGCAGGATTCGGCCTTCAGCTGGAGTAAAGATGCTTTTCTGGTGGAAAGTCCAGGGTTTGAGCCTCAGCGGTGCCAGTGAAGGGATTTTGGAGAGCAGGTGATGACGCGGACGGTATGCAGCTGCTCCGAAGGGGCAGTCCTTTGCACCCTGAGACAGAAAACAGCCTACAGCCCCCGGCATGCGCCAGGCAGCTGTGCTGCTCGGGCAGGCTGAGACTTCCAGGAAGTTTTCTCTGTCTAAAGTAGTGATGCAAAGATCCAGCCGGAGTCTGGTTCTGCAGCTCAACAAAGTGCTTTACCACGCTCAGCCCTGGCCCAGGAAGCTAGTTGAGATCTAGTCTGTGAAGGGGTGGGAAGGCTCGCAGTCCCCTTCTTGGCACTGAGTTGTTTGTATGTGAAATGCACACAGCCCGCAAGCCACGTGTGTGAAACTGGAACTCCTCTTGCTGTGCAAGTGTGCGGGCAGCGGGAGCAGCATGCGCAAGGCGGCATCATGCGCTTGCTTCCTGCCAGACTCCCGTGAAGAAATCTTGCCGAGAGTCAGACTTCGGGTAGAGAGAAAGCAGCAGGGGTCTAAGGGGCCGAGCCAAGAAATTACAGCAGATCCCCGAAGTGGCTCCCAAAACTCTTACCTAGTTTGAACGCTTACAAAAAATTGCAGCCGGTGCTCCAGAGGCTCTGGGACAGGGCGGGGCATTCTCTATTCTAGTCATTTAAAAAGATCTGGTTTGGCAAATTTATTTCTGTGTCATATAGAGGCAGATTAGGAAAAATTTTGTTTCACTTTTGTTGCTGCGGGGGATCGTTCTGTCTTTGCTGGTTGTAGGGGTGGTCCAGGAGCTTTGCAAGGCACTGACTTCCATTGCTGAATTGTAAATCTTTTTTTTTAGCGAAAAGTTTCACTCAGGCAGTTTACAATTGCTAATGAAAGTTTAGTGTTTTTGTTTTAATACTGTTCATCGAAACAATTTTTTAAAAGTATCCAGATCTTCCTTTGGTTTGTTTCAGTATCCTTTCTCTGTAATTTTGCAGCCATAAGGACTGGAAACTTGCATGTTATTATTAGCCAAAATTCTGTGCACAGCATTCTCTGCTGCTTTCCTGTGGAATTGCAGCACATACTGTACAGGGTAAGCTGTATTAAAATAAAGGTCGGTAGGATCTAATCTGTGTTTTAACCCCTCACTTTCCTGTGTTCTAGGTTGCAGTGAAGAACAACATTGATGTTTTCTACTTCAGCACCCTCTACCCTTTGCACATACTCTTTGTGGAAGACGGGAAAATGGGTAGGTGGCGGTGGCCTGGCCCTTGCAAGGGTGGGGGGAAGGCGAGCGCCCCCAAAAGGGGGTGTGGTTGATTTCGAGGCTTCTGCATTTGTCAGGGTCTCTCTTCAAGGGAGCCTCCTGCACGGAAGGGAGCCCCCCCGAGAGGCAGGCCGCCGCTCCGGTTGGGACATTCGTGTCGTCGTGTCCACGCCCGTGCATTCCTCTCTCACCTGTTTTCCTCTTGTGAGGAATGCAGATGGCTGTGCAGAGTTAGTGCCTGGGCCCAGCCTTCCGGTGAGCTGGGCCTCCCGAGGCCCCACCCAACACTCCCACCACTGCACCACACTGCCCATGCTCCCCGGGCCTGTTTAAAGAGCTGCAGGTTGGGATCGCAACCTTGGATTCCACACCGAGGAACCATGTCCTGCCGGAGACGGAAGCGTGCCCTGTGAAATTTAAGCCACCGCCCTGTCGAATGCGTCCTCTCTCCAGGGCCCTGCAGAGTGATGGGTGGCGGGCAGAGCTGGGAGAAGGACTGTCGCTCCGTGGAAGGGCCCCAGCTTTGCACGGAGAACATCTCAGGTCCAGTCGCCGCCATCGCTAGGTAGCAGGGTGGGAAAGAGCTCTCCCCGGGAAGGCAGGCGGTCCTGGACTGTGGGGATGAGTCCTCTTTGCTGCTCTTCGTCCGCCCTCTCCTGGTCAGGATCATCCTCCAAACGGGGGCAGGTGGCGTGGGAGTTCCCCAGCACCACCTGTGGAAAAGGGAGGTCCTCGGAGCGTCACCCTGCCCAAGGCACGAAGGGGCAGTCGTGACCAGCTCGGCTGCCACCAGCCGGGTACTTGCCAGGTGTGTTGCATGGCAGCGCATCCCTGCAGGTTCTGGAGCCTGCTGAGATTTCTCTCCTGAAGCCGCGTGCTCCGGAGCTGGGGCGGGCAGAAACGAGATCGCCAGGTGTTTGCGGTTTGCCCTCGGAGCGCGCCTGCAGAGGCTTCTGGGAGAAGGGGTGCAGAGCGTCCCGAGACTGGCTTTCTGCCTGTCCCCGCTGTGGAGAGCAGGTGCTCCAGCCGCTGCTCTGTGGAGGCACATGGGAGGTGCGCGAGGCCTTCGCGGAGCACCAGGGGGTGCGATGGAGCCTTTGTGGCAGCCGCATCTGCTCAGAGCAGGGCTGTGCGGGAGCTTTGCTTGTGCTCGCAAAGTGTCAGAAAATGCCCTGCGCTGCAGTCCTGGTCGGAAGTGCAAGTGATACCAGATGGGGAAAGAAAAGTGTGTACATTAACAAACTGTTCAGAAATGCACATGTTTATTATTTTTTAAACTAGGCTTTGTCAATGGGGGGAAATGCACACATTAGAAAAATAGCACACAGAAATTGTATGCATTTTCCCCTTTTGCCACAGGAACTTTTTGTGTCTGAGTGTGTGACATAAAATAGATTGGAAACAGGAGAGAGAGGAGGCGCTTATGCACAAGCATTCTGGAGAGCTTTCGTGAATTTCAAAATCCCTAGTTCCTCCATGAAACAGAAAACAAGGTGCATGCCTGGTGTCCCAGGGTCAGGAGCTCTTTTGGAGTATTGCTCCCATCTGCAGCATGGGCATTCGAGCGCTGATGGGAGGCGTAGCTGAATGCACTGGAAAGCTGCCCGGGGTGGGGAAGCTGTTCCCCGTTGGTTGGAATGTTGGCATAGCATCTTCTGCAGGGGCAATGCATTGGCTGGGGGGGGGGGGGCAGCTATTTTTGGTGGCAGCTGAGTGTGGTTTGCATCTTTGGGGAACTCTGTTCCCCAGGCCCTGCACTGAACTCTCTCCTTCTGCTTCCTCCTTCCAGAGCGTCAGATGTTCTTGGCCACCTGGAAAGACATCCCCAATGAGAACGAAGCACAGTTTCAGATTAAAGATTGTCCTCTGAATGCAGGTGAAAAGAAACCTCCAATCCATCTATTAAAGACGCTGAAATCCTGCCCTTCTCCAAAGGGCTGTTTATGAGCGGCTGCCAGGGAACCTCTCGCCCATGCAGCTTCCATGGCCAGGTCTGCAGCGGGTTAATACCTTTGTTAGGACCAGCTGGGACATCCCTAAATAGCAAGCGAGCTTCTGGGTTCTCCAGAAGGAAGGGGAGAGGAGATAAAATAGAGCTTGGTGTTAAAGTCTGCACTGGCTACAGCCTTCAGAGGTATGGGGGATGGGACGGGATTGCAGATCTAGTTGGATTGCATTCTTCCAGAATCAACCAAACTGGTGCTCAAGATGTAGCAACAGTGGTGTTTTACCTAACATGGAGCAAGAAATGCTTGGATTTCAAGCGGGATTCTGAAAAGGACAAGGAACTCAAAACAAATGTTGGCTCTTTGAAGCACACTGAGGAATTTCAAAAGATCGTCAGTCTACACTTTGTAGACTACAGCAAAGCCTTTGACTGTGTGGATGACAAGAAATTAAGGGTGGTGTGAAAAGGAACGGAGTGGGGGCCTCAGCCCTTGACTGCCCTGGTATGTACCCTGCATTGTGGCAAGAAGCAATGGTTAGGGCAGAATACGAGAAGCAGAACGATTTCCTGTTGGCAAAATATCAGGCAAGGGCATATTTTATCCCACTGTTTCTTCAAGCTGTACATAGAATGTACCATAAGGAAATTAGGATCAGAGGAAGGAGTGAAAATCATTGGGAGATGCATCAATAATTTAAGATATGCAGATGATACCCAATTGCTGGCAGAAAACAGCGGAGAATTAAAATGACTTCTGATGAAAGTGCAAAAGTAGAACTGCACTTGACCGTTAAGAGCAAATTCAGGGCTAGAGGAGAATTATCCAGCTTTAATGTTAACAGTGAAGAAACTGAAACGGTGAAAGATTTTGAATCCCTTGGCTCGGTCATCCATTCAAAGGGAGATGCTCTGCAGCCAAGGAACTAGAACTGAGACTTGGAAGGGCGTCAGTGAAGGAGCTAGAAAAGATGATCACATGTAAGGATGCTTCCCTGGTGCCCGAGCCGAAGGCCGAGGCCCCACTTGGCAAAGGGTGAGTGACCCGCTTGCAGGGAAGGACTCCATGAGATTTCCTCAGCTTGGCTCCTCAAACTCCAGCCCGCTTCCTCTTTGCCCAGACTTTGCCTCTTGCTGGCTGCAGGTGGGAAGCCAGTCCACGGGGCCGGCTTGTTCCCACGCTGTCCGCACAGCCACTGTGCAAGCTTTGCTTCTGCACGTTTGACCCCTGGGCTTTACGTACTTGGCTTGACCCATTTTGTGTCGAGAAGCTGCTCGTGTTCCCGAGTGTTTGCAGACATGATCTGGGCGTGATTCTCTTGCTGGCAGGGCTCAGCATGGGAAGAGATTCCAGCAAGTGCGAGAGTGCAGGATTCTGGCCTGATCTGTGTCTCCGTCACACTGCTGTATTGCTCATCACTGTGTACAGGGTGTGCAAGCTGGACGGAGAAGAAAGCTGGCAGGAAGAAAATGGATGCATTTGAAATATGGTGCTGGGGAAACCTTTGTGGACACCCTGGATTGACAGTGGACAAGTGGGATCAGATAAAATCGGGCCAGAACTTTCCCTGGAAGCAAAAATAATGAAACAGGGGCTGTTGTGCTGCAGGCAGGTCACGAGACGGTAAAACTCCTTGGAGGAGACAAGGAGAGTCAAAGGCAGAAGCAGAAGACGACAACCAAGTATGGATGGATTGATGCCATAAAGGAAGCCACAGCCTTGAATTTGGAAGAGCCAAGCTGGGCTGTCCTGGACTGGACATTCTGGGGGGCTTTCATTCATACGGTCACCAGAGGTCAGAGGCCGCTTGACGGCACATAAGGACAGATTCAGGCTTCAAGTTTCACAGAGAACCTCGGGCAAGTAGCCCTGAATTTGGGCTAGAGGTTGTGGTGTGCAAGTTAGAAACTAAATTAAGTAGGTCCCCAGTCCAGACCACATGTTTTTCCCTCCGTGCTCAGCCATCATGGCTGTTTATGATCCAAGGCATTTGCATGGACTTTCAGTTTGAGGGAAGGCTACTTTAGACCCCTGACTGGGGAATCCAGCCCCACCCACTTCCTCACCACCCCATTTGCACACGAGCTCGCTGGCGTGAGCGCCAAAGCATCACTCGGGAAGGGATTTTGCCGGCACGAAACATTCGCTTCGCTGCTGCTCAGCCAACCAGCCATTCCAGCAATTGGCTCACAGAGAGAAGCCACTGCAGCTGCCTGCTTTCACCCCCCACCCCCACCCCCACCCCTGTTTCATTCCTCCCCTCACAGGCTGTGTGGCATTCAAGCCAGATTGACTGGGACGTGGGGAATGTCACTGGGGAGACGCCTGCCTCTTTGTTCCTTCTCTCTCCCTCTCCCTCTCCTTGGCATGGCATGTCATGCAGGCCCCCTCCCCTGAACCCCACTTTTTGGGTGGGTTCCTGGCTTTTGCGCAGCCCCAGCCCCCAAGTATCAATGCTTAGATACTTTAAACTGCAAGGAGATCTTTAAACATGCTGGAACGTTGCCCCCTCCCTTCGCCGCTTCCCACCCTGGAGAGTTCCCTCCCCACCACTGAGAGCTCCCTGATGGTGGATCAGTTCTTGCCTGAAGAGTGGTTTAGCCATCCACGCGGGACATGCCCCGTCCTGGGGAAAAGCACCCCAAGCCCTGGCCGTCCTTTGAGAGACAGTGCCAAGCCCTGCTCTTATGTGCTTGCGATTTTCATTTAAGTCCTTAAGGGCTAGAAGCTTTTATTTCCATTTAGCAAATGCTGCTTTTTGCTTATCCTCACTCACCTTGCAGGAAGAAGCTCTTTGCCTTTTCCCCATTTCCACACCCCTCCTTAATCTCAGTGTTATTCCGCTGCTACAGAGCTGGCACTGACTTTGTAAATTGTGGAGGTGTGCAAGGTGGTCGCTGACATTTTGATGCTTGCTGTTCTGATTGTTAGAGATTGCCTAGTTTTATACAGAGGAGCAGAGCAAAACGGTGCTAAATGGAGTATAACTCCCTGCCTGTATTTCATATGAGCAGAACTGATTCTGGATTCTGTGAAGTGCCGTAATCGTGGGTGCACACCTGTCTTTGCATGGTTTCATTTTGTTTACACTAGTCATGGGTCTAGGATAAGGAGCTATTTCGCTTCCGAGCCACTCTTCAGCACTTTGAGCGCTCCGCCAGGCAGAGACCATAGCAAGAAACGCAAGCGCGAGAAATGGGAGGCTTTTTACCACCTCCCTCTCTAATGGAGCCCTGGATTGCCAGGAGGCTGAAGTTTGCTTTCCCTCCCACAAACTGTGTTTGTGCAAATCGGCACAGCCCTGCTTATCACCTCAAACGTGAGTAACGCGGTCGTGTGTTCCTGGTCCCACAGATGCCGTCAGCAGCAAACTGCAGGGCAGCAACATCTTCACCATCGCCAAGAGGAACGTGGAGGGCCAGGACATGCTGTACCAGTCGCTCAAGCTGACCAACGGCATTTGGGTCTTGGCAGAGCTGCGGATCCAGCCGGGGAATCCTAACCTCACGGTATGGCCCTCCTGGCTCGCTTGTGCAGATGGGCATCAGGCCGTGGGTAGCCGGGAACGAGAGGGAGCGGGCTGCCCTTTCTGCATGTGCCGAGGACGTGGGAACAGCCTCGCCTCTTTGGTTCGTGGGTTGCAGGTGGGGCTGTATGGAAGCAAGGAAGTGGGCTTGCCTGGGCACAGTGGGTGTCATGCCCACGTCTCTCTCTTGCTCCCACTGGAGGCGGGCTAGCCGGGTCTTCTTTGGGGGCTTCCTTCTCGAGGACAGACCATGATGTGTCCATTGTTAATTGTTAAAGGGATTTGCTCGAGTCAGAAGAGCAAGTTAATCGTGCTCTTCCTCAGAGATGGACGTCCCTAAGCCAGCTCAGCTCAGCTCACACGAGCGACTGAGACCGCTGGAATCTGGAGAGCGTCAAAGCATGAAACCCCTCAGAATGTCACCCCATCGAACTCTCACACAACCCTGGATGAACCCGGGTTGTCCTTCCCTCAGCAGCCCACGATTTCCGCTTCAGGTGTCACAATAGATTGCCCATGGACAAGTGGGCCTGGAGCGGGTCTGATCCAGGCCCCTGCCAGCTGCCTCGCCTGCATGGCACAGGGAGCCCCCTCTGGGTGGGGGTGACGTGCGAACTGGGCTGCACTTCCTGGTTCTTTGGTGTACAAATGAAACGCGGCTGCTGGTAAGTACCTGAATCGCTCTGTGCCTCATCAGACTTTGGAAGCACGTAGGTCCTGCCTCACAGGGTGAAAGTGGAAAGGCAAAGATGTGCTGCCCTTAGCAGCAGGTGAGCAGCTGGATGCCAGGGAGGGATGTCGGTCCTCCCTCGGTCCTCATGCTGCGTGACTGGCCACCACTGAGGACTGGGCCAGGGCACGGCCGGGCGAGCCGAGCCGAGCCAAGCCAGAGGAGGGGCCCGCGTGCTCTGCTGAGCTGCAGAATAAGGCGACTCGCCCGTCCTCAGAATGCGGGAGAGGGTTGCCTGCGGCCCATCCAGCCTCGGTTTTAAGGTAGATTTGGGGCGCGAGGGCAAGTCCCTTGACGGGGGCAATCAACTGCACAGTGCACAAACTGGTATTTTTATCTGCATTAGTGACTGATTTCTCTTGTCCCCCAATCATTTCAATAAGCCTTCAGGTATACAAAGAGGTTTTTAAATTACAGTTAGAGGATGTTAAAGAAAACATTTAACGCACCACAGTCTGAAAGCACAGCATGAAAGCAGGTGGCAGAAACGCAGCAGGTCCTTTAAAAAGTGAGCCTCCACAGCTGCAGGGCCGCCACCGCCAAGGCCTTGCCAGGATCCGCCCCGAACACCTAATGGTGCTTCATCCAAAGAAGGCCCCCAAGTTCTGGTCATCCGAACCTTCCTGGACTGCCTTTCCCTGCATCACATCCCTTCTTTTGGTCACTGGAGAGACAGGTGCCTCTTCCCCTCCACTTGGTTGTGACCCTCTTTCCTTTGCATTGATAATTTAAATCTTTATTTCTTTTGTTTTTGTTGCTGCACGACCACCTGCCCCCCCTGCGGGCCTGTCCCTCCGATCTTGCAGGACTTAGAGGTTAGCAGAATGTCTTTGCTTCTTCAAAAAAACAAAAACCAGCCAGACCAGATCTTCTGAATCCAGCTTCCTCTCTGCTTCCCCTCCACTACCCTGCTTGCTTCTGACGCTCTTTTCCGCAACACTCAAGCTCCCCGCACCTGACACAAGCTAACAAAAGCAAATCGTGCCATTGCGGGGGGGGGGGGGGACAGAGAATTGGCGGGGGATGGGTGCCCCTTATCGTTTCTTTTTTTCCTTTCATCTCCTCTTGTCCATTTCCGGGCAACCGGTCTGCCCAGTGTGTGTATCAACACAAGCCATCCAGTGCCAACTCCAGAGCCTGGAGGGTGTAGCAGGAGGCTGTTGGACTGGGAAAGTCCAGTCCCCAATCAGCCACGATGCTCTCCCTAAGCAACATTGGGTCAGTCACTTTCTTTTGCCCTGACCTACTTCACAGAGTTGTTGTGCGCATAAAGTGCTACACGAGGAGAGAGCTAAAGGAGATTTTAAAAAACACACTTTAATCCTTTATCATAACTTTTGCTTTGGAGAATCTGCCACCCCCTATACTCACGCCTGGGAGTAATTGTCACTGAATCTGGAACAAGCATCTGGACTGAGGGGCCTCAGGCGAGGATACAGGTCAGATTTGTGGCTTGGACTGTTCCTGCTGCAAAACTGCCTTCCACCTGGTGCATCTCAGGATGAAGGCTTCTGGCTCAGCCCTGTACCAAAGCAGGTATTGACACCTGTGCCTACAGCAGGGGAGGGCGTAGGGTTTCTTCTGCAGGGGAGGAGAGAAAGAGGGAGACCTCATTCCGAGAAGCTTCAGCGGACTTGAGAACAAAGGCAGCAAACGCTTTGCCCCTGAGGGTGGCTGGCGGTCTCTCTTCCCGCAGCTTGGCTGAACTGCCTTCCTTTCAGTGTCTTCGCATGCTTGTACATTCGTGTTTCTGCCTCCTCCTGGATTTGGTTTGCTCCAGTTTACTAACATGGCTGCCTAGCTGAGGTGTGTCTGGCGGAGGTGGCTCCTGGGCATTCAGTGCCTTCTCTCCTCCTCTTCCCACGCAGCTTTCCCTCAAGTGTCGCGCACCTGAAGTCGCCCAGCACGTGTTCCAAGCTTATGAAACCATCCTGAAGAACTGAGTCCATTGGGCGCTTCCGTGCTCCCTCCCACTCCTCCCAGATTTTTGTTGGGACCAAAAGCCCCCCAGGCCTGCCTCCTGTCGTCCACAGAGGGAAGTCACCCAGGATGGAAACAGCAGCCCTTTGGAGACCATCTGACCACTGGGACTTGGTGGAGGGCCGCTTGGCTTTGGAGCAGGGAGGGGTGCCTGAAGGAAGCCCCCGGGGTGGGGGAGCTCGCTGCGTATCTGTGCGTGTGTAAACGTCATGCCATCTCCCTCTGCTGATGTCGCCCCATTCCTGAGAGCCCTGTACTTAATTTTCGGCCCTTCGTACATGCACAGACGTTGACTGTGTGCGTGTGCGTGGGTGTGCGTGCCTGCACCATGCTGCAGCTGTGCAAGGTGAAGTCTTGTGCACCTTTTTAGCGTCACCTTGCAGTCTTGCTAGTCCCAAATAAACAATCAGTGCTCTTAACTGCTGGAAACCATTGTCTGTGCTTTATTCCCTAGCCTAAGGATCCCTCTGCTTTCCTTCTGCCTCACCCTCTCTGCCTGTTCCCGCCAGTGGTGGGGAGGCAGGGCATCTTCAGGCTGGGGAGGCAAGAGGTCAGCTCGGTAGGGAGAGGCACAGTGACGGAACCGTGAGGTTTGGCCAGAGGCCAGTCGCAATCACAAGATCACGTGCAGAGTGTTGCAGGAGCGGCCCAGCCCTCTGTACTCCGGCACTGTGTTTGCCAGATGTGTCCAGTTAGAAACACATGGGCGGGCGCGAAGGGGATATCCCTTCTTGTTGGATCTTGGCCGTGGTATGTTTTGCTAGACTGCTCCTCAACGTAGAAGCTCTATTTCTTACTGCCATCCCCGCATTTTGTAATGACCAGTGAGCTGTTTGGAGCTGTTGGAGGCTTAGATCTTTTCCTTCACTTCACTTGTTCTGCTTTTTCTCTGCCCCTTCTTGCCCCTTCTTGTGTTGGACTGCAAATGCCTTTAAGAAGCCGATTCCCATGCCTGCGGTGTCTGAAGGCCCATTGTCAAGGCAGAACAGTATTAGTTTAAATAAACAGGAGAAAGTTAAGATATAAATAACTCTGGTTTTCCGCCTTCATAGCATAACTTATATTACAGTTCATGGTTTTATTTGTGGTGATCCGCTCAGAGTACTTCAGTTGTTGGGTGATATTAAAATACAGTCAATACACCTGGCACCTGAGGGGATGCTGCACATCATATCTTGGTGATATTATTATTATTATTATTATTATTATTATTATTATTATACTTCTATGCCGCCCCTTGCCGAAACCTCGGGGCGGCTTACAACACAATAAAATACATTGAAATACAATAGAACATAATAAATTACCATTAAATACAAAAATACAAAAAATACACTGAGTTACAAATATAAAATTAAAATTACCAGTATAAAATAAGTAAATAAAAATATAGGAGGAGAAAAGAGAAGGAAGAAGAAGTTGCCCTGGCCAGATCATATGTTTTAACAATTAAAATGATGTTTAAATAAAAAGGTCTTTACCTGGCGCCGAAAAACCAGTAACGACGGTGCCAGGCGGACCTCTTTGGGGAGTGAATTCCATAGGTTGGGCAACTTTGCTGGGTCTGCCTTTAGTTTGCTCCCCCTCTAGAAACGGGTCCAAGATTCTGCCTCTCTCTTCAAACCCGGGTGCAAAACTGAATGTGCTATTGCAGAGCTCTGCATTGGTGGCATGGCTACCAACTGTCCTTCACTGTTTTTTAAAAAGTTAAACACTGCTGCCTCAGAGCATCCTTCGGGATCGGCTTCCCTTGAGCCTGCTGTGCTGGGCCCATAACTAAGGGGGAGAACCTCCTTCAGCCCAAGGCCAAGCACCACTCGGGCATCGCTCCAGGAGTGGGCCGGGCCTGCAGCAGAAACACACAGGGCCACTGCTGTCACTTCAGGATACAACCCTTTGCATGCTTGGGCAGGCAAAGTCCAGAATCCCATCATCCCCAGGCAGCTGGGGAGTTGTAGGACATTCTTCCAGTCTATTATTTATTTATTATTTATTAAAGCATTTTTATGCTTCCCCATTCGCCGAAGCCTCGGGGCGGCTTACAACAATAAATAAAACCAATAAGTTAAAATATACATATAAAATAATCATAATAATTTAAAACACACATTATAAAATAAGCCGCCCTGGCCAGATAAAATTCAGTGGTATTGACATTTAAAATGTTACTTAAATAAAAAGGTCTTTGCCTGGCGCTGAAAAACAAATAACAATGGCGCCAGGCGGACCTCTCTGGGGAGCGCATTCCATAACTTAGGCGCCACTGCTGAGAAAGCCCTCCTACGAGTAGCCACCCTCCTAATTTCTCTCACGGAGGGCTCCTGGAGAAGGGCCTCTCTTGCCGATCTCAGGGGGGGACTGGGCATATATGGATGTAAGCGCTCCTTCAGGTAACCAGGACCCAAGCCGTTTAGGGTTTTATAGGTCATTACCAACACCTTGAATTGGGCCCGGACTTCAATGGGGAGCCAGTGAAGCTGACGGAGAACTGGAGTCATGTGAACATAACGTCCAGTCCCCGTCAGCAGCCTGGCAGCTCTATTCTGAACCAATTGAAGTATCCGGACCGTCTTCAAGGGTAGCCCCACGTAGAGCGCGTTACAGAAGTCAAGACGGGAAGTCACCAGCGCATGAGTCACTGTTGCAAGGCAGTTGTACTCCAGGTAGGGACACAGCTGATGAATCAGCCGAAGCTGGAGGAAAGCGCTCCTCGCCGCTGTTGTCACCTGAGCTTCGAGTGAAAGCTCTGGGTCGAGGAGCACTCCCAAGCTGCGGACCTTGTCCCTAGGAGGGAGTGCAACCCCGTTCAGGACAAGGTTCAATTCACCCTCACCGAAGCCCGAACCGCCAACCAACAGGACCTCCGTCTTGTCTGGATTGAGCTTCAGTTTATTGGCCCTCATCCAGCCCATTACCTCGGCCAGGCACCGGTTCAGTACAGCCACTGCCTCACCTGGATTGGTGGAAAACGAGAGGTAGAGCTGGGTATCATCAGCATACTGATGGTTCCGCAGCCCACACCTCCTGATGACCTCTCCCAGCGGTTTCATGTAGATGTTAAACAGCAAAGGGGACAAAATGGACCCCTGTGGTACTCCATGGCATAGCTGCCACAGCGCAGAGCCATAGTCCCCCAGCACCACCTTCTGGAAACGGTCATTGAGATAGGAGCGGAACTATTGCAAAGCAGTGCCTCTGACCCCCAATCCCGCTAGCCTATCCAGAAGGATACCATGGTCGATGGTATCGAAAGCCGCTGAGAGGTCCAGGAGAACCAACAGGGACGCACTCCCCCTGTCCTTCTCCCTGCACATGTCATCGTACAGGGCGACCAAGGCAGATTCAGTACCGTACCCGGGTCTGAAGCCGGACTGAAATGGGTCCAGATAATCAGTTTCATCCAAGAGTGCTTGGAGTTGTCCCGCCACCACTCGCTCCAACACCTTGCCCAGAAACGGGATGTTGGCCACTGGTCTATAATTAGTGGCCATCCCTGGATCCAGTGACGCCTTCTTCAGGACCGGTCGGACTACCGCCTACTTTAAAGGGGCAGGCACCCGACCCTCCCTCAGAGAAGCGTTAACCACTTCCAAGATCCAGGTTCCAATCCCGTGCTTGGAATCCTTTATTAACCAAGACGGGCAAGGGTCCAAAAGGCAAGTGGTAGGACGTACTCGTCCAAGCACCTTGTCCACATCATCGGGCCGTAATAACTGAAATTCATCCAATAATTCTGGACCAGACGGCAGCGTTGGTGTCTCCCTTAAAACCTCTGAATCAATAGTGGAATCCAGCTCGTGACAAATCTGAGCGATTTTCT